CACACGCACACGTGCGCGCGCACGCGTGCTCATGGGCGTGTAACTCAGCGCCTCGCACATGCTAGGCCAGTATCCTATTACTGTGGCACATCTCCCACTCAAAGCGTCCTGTGCATCCTCATCTTCTGACAGATCAACAGCTGTTTTATGGCAGAAAGACATCTACAGTATCCCACAAGCCACACACACAGTGGACACTCAAAGATCACTGAAACCATAATGGGTAGATTATAAGGAGCAAGTCTCTGGACAAAAAGATGAGCAAGATAATTCAGTCTCTGTTCTAAAGCCTAACAGTATACAATAATTAAAAAATGCATTTACCATCTGGGCATGATGGTACACATCAGTAATTGAAAGACCCCAACACACACACACACACACACACACACACACACACACACACACTCCATCATAGGGAGTTGAAATTCAGCCTGGGGTATATATAGCAAGATCTTGTCTTAAAAGACAAGAACAAGGCTAGGTATCACACCTTGATTCCCAGCAGAGAGGCAGGCTGATCTCTGTGTGTTCAAGGCCAGACTGGCAGACTGGTCTACAAAGCAAGTTCCAGGATAGCCAGGACTGTTAAACACAGAAACCCTATCTGGAAAAACAAACAAACAAACAAACAAACAAACAAAAAACAAGAACAAGCTGAATGTGGCTCAACACACCTTTAATCCCAGCAGTTGGCTCTCTGAGTTCAAGGATGGTCTCAAGAGTTCCAGGATAGCCAAGGTTACAGAAACCCTGTCTTGAAAACCAAAAGCAGCAAAGGAAAGAACAAAGAATGTCTTTTACACTGTGTGGCCTGTGCCAACTCCAAGACTGCTCCCTGTACTCTAACTGCATTCCGATAGGAGATACTTAAAAGACACCCACAAACACCAGCTAGGCAGCACCCGGTTTTCTAGCTGAGCCAAGCAGATAGGAAACAAAGATAGTTAGTGTTCAGTTGTTTACAGGGAGCCACCATTGACTCCACAAAGCACAATCTCAAAACAAAGGCAGAGCCTCAGCAAGTTCTCAAAGGGGAACAAATTTTAAGGTCATGGTTCCTTGACGGAGATAAAAAGTTTCCCAGCACATGCAGACCTGATGCTCAGGGCCTCAGATAAGTCTTAAAGATTAGCCCATAGAATAAACTTTTCCCTGAAGTCTAGATTAGATTAGACTTAGTTCCTGTAATTTCCCCATAAATCTGTATTATTCCTTTTCATTCCTGTATTTAGTAGGGGGACTATTAAGGTACATTTTAACTAATTTTTCATTAATTTGCTTGAAGCTTTGCCTCAATTTACTTCTTATCTTGTTTGTTTTTTTCCTGTTTTTTGTTTGTTTTTTACACAGAGTCTCATAATCCAGGCTGGCCTTCAATTTCCAAAGTAGCTGAGACTGACCTCAAACTCACACCCGTACCTCCTCAATGCTAGATTAAAGGCTAGTGCTTACCACGCCTGACCACTGTTATCATTTTTTTTTAAAAAAAGCTTTTGTAATGTATATATCTATACATTCACAAAAGTAGAGAACACTAGTTCTGTGAATTAATTACCAAGACTGACTAAGGTCAACAGATAACCAAACCTATGAGCTAGCACTTCTCCTGTATGTTCAACTTATGAACATTCTAAAATATACTCCACTTCAGAGATGAGTCACACCAGCTGCCAGCATCGATTGCTTTTCTGGTTATTTAGCTAGGACTCAGCATTTTCTGTTATACCATGTGTTATACCATGACAATCTATTCTTTCTTTCTTTCTTTTTTTTTTTGTTTTTTTGAGACAGGGTTTCTCTGTGTAGTCCTGGCTGTCCTGGAACTCACTCTAGAGCAGGCTGGCCTCAAACTCAGAAATCCACCTGCCTCTGCCTCCCAAGTGCTGGGAATAAAGGTGTGCACCGCCGCCGCCACCACCCGACTATACCATGACAATCTAAGATCCAAGGAGTTTACAAACGAGATTGACAACACTTTCAAGATCAATTTTGAGTGAAATCCATGGTAACTTTTGGAATGCTTAACAAGTCCTGAAGATTCTAACTCATCTAACCTGTCAATCTGGCTCCTCCTTCTTTATTTCATTTTATTTAATGTGTGTATAGGGTGTTGGTACACACACGCTATAGACAGATCACACGTGAGAGTCCGAGGACAACTTGCAGATGTTGGTTCTCTCCTCATGCCAAGTGGGATCTAAGATCAAAGTCAGCTCACTAGGCTTGGTGGCAGGTGCATTTACCTGCTGCGCTGTCTCAGCAGCCGTAGGTCCACCTCCCAGAGACCACATAGATTATATTTTAAAACTTCGCACAGTGAATCCTGGAGCTTTCTCAAATGTTCCCAAAATATCTACTGGTCATGTTACTCCTCTTACAATTCCAGAATGACTCATCACCACTTCGGAACCTTGGATAACACCAGGTCTTTCCATGCCTGGTTCCTGATTGTCCAGTGTCACCCTCCTCGTGTCCCATCATACTTCAGCTCTGCACCTGCCCTTCTCCCTCTACTGTATCTGCAAAACCCAGATGTGCCCAGAATCTACTGGAACACTTCCCATGATGCTTTACAGGACTGTGACTTAGGGCGCCTCTTACACTGCTCTGGGTCCTCTCCACAAAGATTTCCAGAAATTTAGGAGCACACACTTGTCCTTGCTTCCCCATCCCCCATCCTGGCCCCACCCAAGGACAAAGCAGAGTGGTAGCTGGCAGAAAACAGACTTAAGTATGCACTGAATAAATGTTCTTAATATGGTCATCAGCCTCTCTTGGGACAGTTATTTACTAGCACATGTGCTCATAAACACACATGAGTTATTTACTAACATGTATGTTCATTAAAGAAATCTCACAGGCCGGGCAGTGGTGGCGCACGCCTTTAATCCCAGCACTTGGGAGGCAGAGGCAGGCGGATTTCTGAGTTCCGAGGCCAGCCTGGTCTACAGAGTGAGTTCCAGGACAGCCAGGGCTACACAGAGAAACCCTGTCTCCAAAAAAACAAACAAACAAACAAAAAGAAATATCACAGGATCAGGTGACTTTAAATGCCAACTGTGAACACAAGATGTCAATTAGATGTGACAACACCTATGCCTTTTCTACTACTGTGACCATGCTTTTCTCTGTAAGACTGGTTCCATTTTCTATAGGGAAGTCTGCTCTTCCAAGTGTTCAATATCATCCCCAGGGGTGCTGAATGATCCCTTCCCTGGAAAAAAACCCATACCAAGACCAATTGACCAGTCATTCTCATAGAAATCAAAGCTCATGTGAATGTTAGGTGGAAAACTTCAGCTGTAAGTACAGGAAATAGGCACCTTTCCCCACAGGCATGGTCAATAGCAGGATTTTAAAATATAATCACCAAGGGCTGGAAGTTGGTTCACAGGTTCAATCCCCAGCACTTACATGGTGGTTCACAACCATCTAATTCCAGTTCTGGAGGATCCAACATCCTTTTCTGACCTCCATGGGCACCAAGCATCCCCATGGTGTGCACACACACACACACACACACACAGGCAAAACAGCCAATTCTATTTCTAAAAAACCCCATAACATTCACAAGCTGGATATGGTAGCATATTTCTGAGACTCCAATACTTGAAAGAGCAAAGAGGCTCACCTCTGGTTTGAGGCCAGCCTGGTCTATATCATGAATTCCAGGCTAGCCAGGGAGAAAAGCAAAACTTGTCTCAAAAAACTCCATTCCCAAAAGAAGAATTGGGGAGCTAGGTCAGTTAGTAGGGTTCTGGAATGGTGACACACAATTCCAGCACTGGAGGACTCGTAATGAGAGCATTCTCTGGATCGAACATAGAGGAGGGAGAGCCCCTACAAGTTCATCTTTCCTAATTCATGAACACCTTCACTCACACTCATGTGCACACACACATTTCATAAGCTCTGCTGTACCTACTTCCTTTGTACCTAGTAATACAGAAAGAATGTGGAGGGGGGGGTGTTAGATTTTCCAAACTGGGTCATAAGAACAGTGGTTTCTATCACTCTACTTCCCTTACAGATAACTCCATCCGAAGGAAGACAGCTACCAACAGAAAAGAGGCATCCAGGACTCCTGCCACTGGTCTTTTGAGTCTTGGATTTAGAACCCCCAACTTGGCAAGAGATATTGGGCTATCATCACCTAGGTGGACTATATCTGATTCTCTACCCACAGAAAGTGCTGAATAAAGGTTGTTTTATTTGGAGAAGACCTCATATTGTAGCCCAGGCTGATCTCAAACTCTGAATTCACACATCTCAGCCTCAACTTCTGGGATTACAGTTATGCACTCCCACACCTAGGATAAAGATTGTTTTCAACCAATAAACGTCGTGTTAGTTATAAAGCAAAAGAAAAGCAGCACAAGGAGGCAATGGAAGGAGGAGTGAGAAAAACGCCAGTACCGAAGAAACAACAGCTCGGTGTAATGATGGAGCACCTGAAAGTCCAGCATTTGAGAGGCCGAGGCAGGAAGATTGCTTCCAGTTCAAGGCGGAGGTGGCTGCATTAAAAGAACAGCAAAACTGTGAGGGTGGAATATAAAGACATCACCATTACCACTCCTGACCTTACCCACCTCACTGCCTTGGCTTTGAACTTGAAGAATATGAACTGATTCTCACTGATACTAAACACGCGGGGCCCAAAGAGCGTTAGGATATAAGGAACTGCACGAGATTAACACATGTCCACCGGAGCACAAGGTCCCTCTGGCACGTCAACCCTTGTTGCTCCCGGTCGCCACAGCGCCCTCCAGGGAACAGACACGACGGAGCACAGATTTGTTTGGCCGAGTTCCGCACGCTTGAAGGTGCCAGGCCCTGTGGTCGGCTACTCTGGGAGCTCAGGCGGGGCCGACCTTAGCTGTGCGCCGCATTCCGAGAGGTGGGACCCGTTCTAGGCCCCCACTACCTCACGGCGATAGAACGCAGACGGCTCTGGCCCCAAACAGCTCGCGCGTTGAGTTACCTAGTCGGATCCTGACCTGCTCTCGGACGCGTCCGCGAGATCCAGCTCCTCAGCAAGTGGTATAGGACTGCAGAACCTGGTTCAACTGCGGTCCCCGGAGTCCGGGATCCACATTCCCAAGTCTCCCGGGAGGACAGGGGCGGAACAGGAGCATAGACTACGCCGGAGAGTAGCGCCCCTCCCCGGCGCGTCCCGGCCCGCCCCGGCCCAGAGGGCAGTGCGCCACGCCCCCACAGGTCCTACCCTGGAGGACCGCCCCTCAGCAGGCCCCGCCCCCAGAGAGGCGGTGGCACCCCTTAGTTCTGCCCACCTGGACTGTGTATCACTTCCTGTTAGCGGAAGGGGCGTGCCAGAGCGAGCCAGCTCTGTTTCCTGAGTCGGTTGCTTAGCAACGAGGCCACTGCATCCTGTTTTGCCCTTTCCAGCAGAGAGCCTATTTGTGCAGGAGCATTTTGGCATGATAACGCTGTGATGGCTTAGGCTTCTTGTTGCAATACTAACCCCAGGAAACCATGAAGGGAGGCGAGGTGCTGGTCACCTAGCTAGCCTGCAAGAGAATATCAGTGAGGCTTCTTTTTTCTAGGCTGCTATCATTCCAAGCACTTACTGGCTAAGGTATTTTCTTTCCTCTATGCACACGCAGGCACACTCAGACACACACTACAACAGAGAAGGAAGGTCAGAGGACAATTTTGTAGAGTTGGTTCTCTTCTTTCACCTTTATATGGGATCTTGGGATCGAACTTAGGTTACAGGCTTGCACAATTGCTTGGCAAGGACTTTTACCCGCTGAGTCATATCACAGGACCTTTATTGTTTTTGAGACAGAGTCTGATGTAGTTTAGGCTGGTCTTGAACTTGAAATCTTTACTTTCTGAACTATATCTCCTGAGTACTGTAATTACAGACATGTGCCTATAGGCATAAATTTTTTGCAACCCACTCTTAATAAGGGTACAGCCTCTTCTTTAGCCCACCACCCAGCAGAGGTAGTGGAAGAGAAAAGTTATTAGGATATGGGGGAAATGGACTGGTTCAACAATAGTTCTTTGGGGGCGAGCTCGATCTTCTTGGGCAGGAGTTCAGTCCCATAGCAAACACCAAGTACAATTCAGCAGCTGCAGACCAGTCCTTTCAGCAAGCAGACACCAGGGAGCTGTAGTTCAATCCTGAAGAAAGCACCAGGCTTGCCAATCAGCCTGAGGTGACGTCGCAGAAGAGGCAAGCTGCCCACAGGAACCCCATAAGCAGTTCTTTGGCAAGTTTCTCTCAATGGCAATGTTATCACAAGGTGAGCTCAACAATGCTATGTAAGGCAAACAAATACATGTCTTTCTTTAGTAAAGAATAGTGAGGGAGAGCAAACCAAAGTTCAGTGCTCCTCTCCGACTGTCTGTGGGGTCATATTTATACTCCTTCATCAAGAGTCTTTACAAGCCAGGTGGTGGTGGCGCAGGCCTTTAAAACCAGCACTTGGGAGGCAGAGGCAGGTGGATTTCAGAGTTCGAGAGTTCAAGGCCAGCCTGGTCTACAGAGTGAGTTCCAGGACAGCCAGGGCTACACAGAGAAACCCTGTCTTGAAAAACCAATAAAAGAAAAAAAAGAAAAGAAAGAAGGACTGTTTTCCTGAAGTAGACACCAATGAAAGGATGTTTGGCTGTAGTAGACACTTGTAAGGACTTTTTCTTTTCTTTCTTTTCTTTCTCTTCTTTTTTTCTTTTTTTTTTTTTTTTGGTTTTTCAAGACAGGGTTTCTCTGTATAGCCCTGGCTATCCTGGAACTCACTCTTTAGACCAGGCAAGCCTCGAACACAGAAATCCGCCTGCCTCTGCCTCCCAAGTGCTGGGATTAAAGGCGTGTGCCACCACTGCCTGCCCAGAAACAGTCTTTCATGTTTTACCTAGACATCCTTTCACCTGTGTGCCCCAGCAAAGCATCATTTGGCATAACTAACTTTCCAAAGAACTAAAAGTTTCTGCTTCACGCGCCATTACACTGACTTTATACAGTACTGTTAACCTAACCCAGAGCTCTGTGTTGATAGGCAAGCACCCTCCCAATTCAGATGCAACCCTAGCTTCTTTTTTTTTTAAAGATGGGGTTTTCTTTTTTCTTTTTCTTTCTTTTTTTTTTTTTTTTGGTTTTTCGAGACAGGGTTTCTCTGTGTAGTCCTGGCTGTGTAGTCCTGGCTGTCCTGGAACTCACTCTGTAGCCCAGGCTGGCCTCGAACTCAGAAATCCGCCTGCTTCTGCCTCCCAAGTGCTGGGATTAAAGGCATGCGCCACCACTGCCCGGCCCATGGCAACTCTTATAAAAGAAAACACATAATTGGGGCTGGCTTACAGTGCAGTTTAGTCCATTATTGTCATGGTAGGAAGCATGGAAGCACTCAGGCAGACATGGTGATGGAGAGATAGCTGAGATTTTTACATCTGAATTCATGGACAGCAGGAAGAGAGAGTATACACTGGCTGGGCTTGAGCATCTGAGAACTCAAAGCCCACCCCAGTGACACACTTCTTCCAACAAGGCCACACCTTCTAATAGTGTCATTCCCTATGAGTTTATTGGGGCAGGGGAGCATTTTCCTTCACACCACCATGCCCCTGAATACTATGTCCCAACTTGGGAAATGTTTCATGAATTTCTTTTTTTTTTGGGGGGGGGTTTCGAGACAGGGTTTCTCTGTATAGCCCTGGCTGTCCTGGAACTCACTCTGTAGACCAGGCTGGCCTCTAACTCAGAAATCTGCCTGCCTCTGCCTCCCAAGTGCTGGGACTAAAGGCGTGCGCCACCACCGCCCGGCGTTTCATGAATTTTTAATTTTAATTTTTCCTTTTGAGAAAGGGTCTTTGTATTTTGGCTGTCCTGGAAGTCACTCTGTATACCAGGCTGGCCTTGAATTCAGAGATCTGCCTCCCTCTGTATCCTGAGTGCTGGGATTAAAAGAGGGTGCCACTATGCCTGGCTCATGAAGCTATTATAGTTAGAGGGCGGGAAGGCCATAAATTCACACACACACACACACACACACACACACACACACACACACACACACAGAGGGTTCACTATGTAGTAGCTCTGGTTGTCTTGTGGCCCTAGCTAGCCTGTAACTTCCTTTATAAGCCAGACTGGCCTCAGTCACAGAGGACCACCTGTCGGTCAAATTCAAGGGTAAACAATAAATGGTACTAAAAGGACTAAAAAGCTCACAATAATTTGATTTTAGATCAGCAACATTCTAACACTCCATATTCAAAAAGCTCTTTCTTCCTTTTCCCTTCTTTCCTTCCTTCCTTTTCTTTTTAGACAAGAAGTCATTTAATACAGACTGGCTTTGAACTCACTATGTAGTTGAGGATGAGTCTGAGATTTTGATCTTCCAGCCTCTACCTTCCAATTGCTTTGATAACATTTGAACAGCACTGTGTCTGGCTTTATGCTGTGCTGAATATAGAACCCAGGGCACACTAGGCACACTAGGCAAGCATTATTAACTGAGCCACATCCTCAGTCCCTTTTTCCCCTTCATACAGCTATAATCAGTTAGTTAATCAGCCTTGTAGAATCTTTAGTACAAATGTGGGCTTTTCCTGGAAACTTCAATTCACATCATCTTGTAAAGGTATGTTTTATTCCCCTGATGTAAGTGTGATCTCAGAGGTTTACTGCCTTCATCTGCTAATCTAGGCCTAATCCTGGAAGTGTTTAGCAGTACAATCTAATTTAGGCCTAGGATGTATTCAGCCTCTGAGAGTTCCTGCTGAATAAATTCATCTCTTCCTAGTTCTTTCTGTGCTCAGGCTGGCTGACTCAGCTCAGCTGTTCTGGCTCAAATGCCTCTCAGGGCCAACTAATTCAACCTGGCTTCTCCTGAATTGCTTTGCTTGGCCAGTTGGTCTGCTTGGCCTATACTAACTTTGGCAATATGTTCTAATCTTCTGACTTCTCATTCTCTGGCTTCTTCTGTTTTCATCTGTGTCTAAAGTGTGTGTTTAGGGGCTGAACCACACCATAACTAGAAACACTTTGACCATGCTGTGAACCCCAAGATTCTGTTATTTACTGGAAATACCTGTTTTTAGTTGTGGTGTGGCTTAGCATACAACTTTAATCCAAGAGCTTTCAGCTTGAATACTTTAAACAGGATTAAATAACTTCAACCATAGGTCAAGAGGAGGGGCAAGCAACAAGTTGGCAGAAGTGAGTATAGGATTATTCTTTTAAGAAATAACCATGGAGGAGGCAGCCGAATTACTGAGTTCGAGGCCAACCTGGCTACAGAGTGAGTTCTAGGATAGCCCAGGCTATACAGAGAAATCCTGTCTCAAAAAAAAAAAAAAAAAAAAAAGGAAAAGAAAAAGCCCAAAGAAATAACCATGGTGAATAAAAGGGGGAACAGATAGACACGCATGCACAGGAAGTAGAAGGGAGAGATTATTCAGTTTGAGGAATGTGGTTTCAGAAAGAGGGGGTGGCATTGCTTCCGGGGCATTGGCTGTGAGGGAAGGTCAGCTTGTTGCTTTCTCTGCCTCCATGAGCTAGCAGCCTTTCACCCAGGCATCAGAGTCCTGAGCGTTCATTGGAAAAATCAAGCAATTGAGATTTTAAGGCAACAATCACTTCTTCTTGATTTAAGATCACACTGAGACATTCGTTCTGATGGACCAGAGCACAGCCAGGCCAGTGGAGGCAAAAAAAAAAAAAAAAAAAAAAAAAAAAAAAAAAACGGCACCGGGGGACAAGAAGGAGAAGACATATCAACATCAGAATAAAGCCATGTGTGTCAGCCCTCAATAGCAAGTGGGCAGAGCCAAGGGAAATCTCTTAAAAGGGAGTTGTAGATTAGAAAAAGAGCTTGGAGGTAAGAGCGCTTACTGTTCGCATTCCGTCTAAGCCCCACCCCACAGTCACCGGGCCAGGTATGCCTGACCCACTGTACAAGGGCCCGCTTGCCCCGCCCCTCTTGTTCCGTTCTTGCTCTCCTGAGCTCTTGCTTCCTTGCTCTTCCCTCCCTTTCCCCATTCCCTTCCCCACTTTCTCTCCACGTGCTCATGGCCGCCTCTTCTCCTCTACGTCTCTCTCTGCCTTTCTTTGCCTCTACTACCCTCTTGACCCCCTTCCCCATGCCCTGAATAAACTTTATTCTGTACTATACCGTCGAGTGGCTGGTCCCTCAGCGGGAAACGATGCCCTAGCAGGGGCCACCGAGGCTCTTCCATACCTCACCACACCTCCATAGAACATATTCCTTCTCTCTTTATCTTTTTATAAACACATCACTTACTGTTGTTGGTTTGGTTCCCAGAACCTACATGGAAGCTCCCAAACATTTCAAACTCCGGTTCAAAATAAATGTGCACCTTTTTACATATATATAAAACTGGGCAGCCGGGCGGTGGTGGCACACACCTTTAATCCCAGCACTTGGGAGGCAGAGGCAGGTGGATTTCTGAGTTCGAGGCCAGCCTGGTCTACAGAGTGAGTTCCAGGACAGCCAGGGCTACACAGAGAAACCCTGTCTCGAAAAATAAAAACAAAACAAAACAAAAAACAAAAAAAAACTGGGCAGAAGTGCTTCGTATCTGAAAGCTGGGGAAGTAGGTGTTGGATCTATAAAGTTCAAGCTAAGGGATTTCTTTTGCTACTGGGAGGAAAAGTCCACACTAGGATGGTAGATTTTCGTGACAAAGCTGCTTACTCTCTATAAATTGTAAAATTTTCCACCCCGAGACTAGACAGTTTTGAGGATCTAGCCCGTAGGTTTCTTAAATAGTTCTCCTTTCTCTCTGAATGCTTCAGTGCTCTCCATGTTGGTTGGAGTATGCACTTCACACAGAACAATAATAGTACCACATTTGTTTTATACTGCTATTATTGTTCTCTTGCTCTCTTGAGCAGCAGGATAGCAAGTGTTAGTAGTCTGTCTAAACTCCACCTCCATAGTTACCTGGCAACAGCCAGGTAGGCTTCTCCCCACAGTTACCTGGCAACAGCCAGGTAGGCCTGCCCACTATAAAAGGGGCTGCTTGCCTCTGTTCTCTTGCCCATGGGTTCTGTCTGTCCCCTCGCCCCTTCCCCCTTTTCTTCCCCCTCTCTCCAGGTGGTCATGGCTGGCCTCCTTCTCTCTTTTCTCTCTCCTCTCTCTTTCCCCCACCATTTCCTCCCATTCCTCTCCTCACCTTTGCCCCGAATAAACCCCTTCCCCCCGTGGAACCGTTTGGTCTGGTGTGGTCTGTTCTGAGCTGCGCGCCAAAATCTTAACAGCAAGTTCAAGCCCAACCTGGCCTATATAAGACCCTGTCTCCAAAGAAAGAAATGGAGGCAAGCACACGTGCACATTTATGTAATTGTAGCACTTGGTAAGGAAGGAAAAGTGGGAGGGTCAGGAATGGAAGTCATCTTTGGTTTCATAATAAGTTCAAGGTCAGCATGGACTACATGAGACTATATTACATAAAGAAATAAGATATAATCTAGAAAGTCTTATATCATTAGTTTGTTTTTCGAGATAGGGTTTCCCTGTGTAACCCTGGCTATCCTGGACCTTGCTCTGTAAATCAGGCTGCCCTCTAACTTGGAGATGTGCCTGCCTCTACCTCCTCAGTGCTAGGATTAAAGGCTTTTGCCCCCACTTTACTATATTTTATTCGTTTGACTAAAGTCTCATTAGAGCATAGAATTTGATGTTTCAGGAACCAGGATAAAATCAGTGGTGGAGTTTTTATCTAGTGTTTTTAAAGATTTATTTATTTCATTTATATGAGCATACTGTATGCTATCTTCATACACAGCTGAACTGGGCATCCCATTACAGATGGTTGGTTGTGAGCCACCATGTAGTTGTTGGGAATTGAACTCAGGACCTTTGGAAGAGCAGTCCCGGTTCTTAACTGCTGCGGGTATCTTTCCAGCCCTTCTGTTTTAAAAGGAGGCAGGATCTTAGTCTCACAAGGACCATGCTTCCACAGGGTAGCCCGACACCCAGGACGTTGGCCTTGAACTCTGAAGCAAGATCCTGCCCCAGGGTACCAAGCTACTGAGATTACAGTCCCGCGTCACGACCGCCCAAAACCAAGATTAGTTGATCTAGTCTTCAGAACAACTTGTGACCGCTCTACTCAGCTATTCTTGGTGTTACAAACTACATTTCCCGACAGGCCTTGCATCAACGCCTACGAACTTCCTCCCAGCATTCTCCGCGGCGGGAAAGTGCCGTGCGGGCTTCAGGCGGATAGGATTGTCTTTCGTCGTCGCTGTTTGCCGTTTCTGTTGTTGAGTTGTGAGGAGCTTCCCGGCCGTCCCCACTGGCCACTATGTCCGCCCAGGCGCAGATGCGGGCCCTGTTGGACCAGCTCATGGGCACGGCTCGGGACGGTGAGTCTGAGCAGCGGTCCAGGCTCTGGGCGGGGTGGGAGTAAGGCGAGGCCGCCTGGAAGCCTGAGGTGAGGGCCGTGACAGCGTGCGCCTGCGCGGGGCGCCATTTCCCTCCCCTGCTTACGGACCCCAGGCTCCGGGCCTTTGTCTGCTCTGCTTGGCCTGCGAGTCTGCCGCGGCCTTGGTGTTCTGGTCCTGGCTGCCTCCTTCCCGAGATTCCGGCCCGACTGTGGGGCTTTGTCCCCCTTCTCGTTTTCCGTCATGCGAATTTCTCTTGGTCGGCACCGCGGTTCGGCGCTGCCGGGCATACTGGAGCGTCGGCGAAGGGCTGGAACCAGCGTGGCTCCGGGGTGTTGGCTGCCGGGTGGCGGAATTTCTCTGATACTCCTCGGAGGAGAGGCGATCCCCGAAGGAGCTGGACGGGTTTCGAAAACCCGGGCGTTCTTGCTCCATACGGTTACAAGGGGAGCCGCAAATGAGCATTTCTAACGTGGGTTCCCTCCGTGTACTTTTCTAGTCTTCCCATCCTTCATTCCCCTGCCTCACAGACTAGCCTCGGTTTAGTCACCTCTTGGCATTCGTTAGGTAGTTGGTTCTGTAAGGAGGCGTGCAAGATCATAGTGGTGTCTCAGGAAAAAGCAGTTAGTTGCATTCTAGCAAAGCTAGATCCCTGCTGCGGTTTGTGTTTTCATTTTTACTAAAGTAATGAAGTTTGTAATTTCACACTGGCACATTTCACAGGGCTGTGCAGATTCTTTGCACCATTTCGTAGGTCAATAAGTGCTTTTAGCTTTCTTTGTATGTTGAGTTGCTTTTGAATTGCTTCCCATATTTTTATTTCATACAAACTGAACAATTGTGGCCCCTCTATTTTATTTATAAAGGTTCAGTGTATCTTTGCCTGCCTACATCAATCTGCAAGGGAGTTGCAGAAAAGCCTCATGTTCATCGAGCCGTGAGTCACAACCAATTTCTAAGCTGTTATAACAAAAAAGTGTTTGCTTTTTTTTTCCCCACAAGTAACTTTAAAAGTGTAGTTTAGAAAGAAAACATTTTCAGTAAAAAGACACTACATTAATCCTGGATGCTTGCAAATCCTGAAATATATTCCTCCTTGACTATTACACAGCACTGTGTCCTATACACAGATAGCCTTAAAATTTGTCACATACCACTTTGCCTTTACTTTTATGTATCATTCCCCCTGACTTCCTTACTGCAGGTGTGGGCAAGAAAACTTTTCCTTTAAAACTTTTCAACAGCGGGCATAAAATTCTGCAGCTGAGTTCTTGAAGATTGCAGATGGGTACAGTATGTGTTGGAGTTCACAGTGTGTATTGACTAACCTGATTCCTTTTTGCTTTCTTTGGTATTGTCTTGTTAAAGTGACTCCCAGGTGCCAACTGTCCTTTTTAAGGGTGGGGATGAAAGGGGAAGAAGAAGAAAAGGTGTAGAGATATTTAAGTCAGTGATAGAGCTTGAAAGCGTTCTTCCTCTTTTTGTTTTTTTTTGGTAAAATACTGCCTATTAATTTGACTCTAACAAAAAACAATGAGATTATTGAATAGTTTTGGTTGGTGGAGATTAGCAGCTGTGAGGATCCGTGGTGGATTCTTGGCACTAATCACACTGGTCTTGATGTGTTATTGCCCATATATAAATTTGGGCAGATGCCTTCTGTTGCTCACTCCTACTTCTAACTCCATGAATTAACGATGGAGTTAGGTGTGGTTAAGTGTGCTTCTTCATAAAATACTTAGCTTAGAAACTATTTGTATTTTATTCCAATTGTAAATATCTTTAGATCAGTTTCTTAGTGTATATGATGGGAAGAGTACAGAGATACTAGTCTGCAAATCATCCAGGTGTATTAATTTTACCAGATAGCCTTGTGTAGTGAATGAAATAATACTTTATTTAAAACCACAAATGAATTTCAGGAGATGAAACCAGACAGAGGGTCAAGTTTACAGATGACCGTGTCTGCAAGAGTCACCTTCTGGACTGCTGCCCCCATGACATCCTTGCTGGGACGGTAGGTGCATTCCAGATTTTTATGATTAGATCACTCAGAAAGGGGGGGTGGAGTAGATGTAATATATATTTATACTATAGAACCCAAGAGAGATATTTTCGTCTTTAAAAAATTGCATAATTGGGGCTAGAGAGGTAGGTAGCTCAGTGGGTGAGAAGAGCACTTGTCACTCTTGCAGAGGCCCCACGTGGTGGCTAACAACTACCTGTAGCTCCAGTTTCAGGGCATCTACTCTTGGCAACTACATTCATGTGCACATACCCGGACACAGGCATATACATAATTTAAAAATAATAAAAATTAAGCCTTAATATTGAATAATGTAATGTTTAAAATGCGAGTGTTAGGATTAGAATTATTGAAACACTCACTTTATACTGTGTATAAAGAGTTACAGGGCTGGAGAGATGCCTCCATGGTCACGAGCTCTCAGTTTTAATTCCTAGGATTCACACAGCAGCTCACAACTGTCTTAACTCCACCCAGGCATGTACACGGTACACAGACATACATTCAAGCAAAATATCCATACACATTTACATAAATGTATATTCACGTATACATATATACAAACACACTTAATTTTGAATGTAGGGCTGAGTACATGCAGGTGCCCACAGAGGCCAGAAGAATGCATGGGATCCTCTGGAGTTGGAGTTATAGGTGGTTTTGAGTCTTTTTGATATAGGTGCAGGACACCGAACCTAGGTCCTGAAAGAGGACCAAGTGCTTTAATTGCAGAGCCACCTCTTCAGCCCCTGTTCTCATCTTATTTGTTTATTATTTATACTGAGTGTGTATTTGTTGTGTGTATCTGTATAGGTGCCAAGGTTGTTCATGTAGATGTCATAGGACAACTTGGGAGGAATGATTCTGTAACCCCTATTGGATCTGAGGAGAATCCTCTGGATCTGAGGAGAATCCTCGGATTGTCGGGTGGCTTTTCCTGCTGAGTCATCTTATCAGCCATTAATATGAAATAAAAATCAAGTGGAGATCACATTGATTACATACTTTTGTAACTCAAGAAATCTACTAACCAACCAATAACTGTAGACTCTGAATGACACAGATAAATGCTAGTTTTGAGGAAATGTGCTTTCATTTGAAATTTACATTTAAGATTAAGCAGTGAAGAGAGTCATCTGCCATATTTCAACCACTTAGAGTGAAAAAGTCCAGTTTAAGACTTTCGTAGCTGTTATGAGGAATGTTTTGATTGTATGAAAATATGTGTGCCAAAGAAAATATTTCCTGGTGAATCATGGATTAAAACTTCTATAGTAGTATTTAGTCTGTGTGTGTGTGTGTATGTGTGTGTGTGTGAATACACTCATGCATAAGCAAGAAGATAGTAGATTTTGTCCTCTTGTTACTGGTCACTGGTCACCTAGCCCCTGAGACATAGTCTTTTGAGACAATGTTTCTCTGTATAGCCCTGGCTGTCTTTTTGTAGACCAGGCTACAATTGCTAAAGCCTGATATCTTTTACATATTTTACAATTTTTATGTATGAGTACACTGTAGCTGTCTTCAGACACACCAGAAGAGGGCATCAGATCCTGTTACAGATGGTTGTGAGCCACCATGTGGTTTCAGGGAATTGAACTCAGGACCTCTGGAAGAGCAGTGTGTGCTCTTAACCACTGAGCCATCTCTCCAGCCCCCCAAACCTGATTTCTTTATGTACTCCCTCGCTCTTTTGGAAATGGGGTCTCTCTATGTAGACTAGGCTACTTCCTTGCAGAATCCATCTGCCTTGGTCTCTTAAGTGCTGGGATTAAAGTTGTTCACTACCTCTCCTGACATAGAGCATCTTGACTAGTGAGGATTTTGAGGATTGCCTAGAAAGCTGTAATACTCTATTCTTGTCCTTATCAAACCCATATCTCTTCTTAACTGAATGCTTGGATAATGAAAAAATAAAAGTAAAATTGGCAAAAGCTGATACAATTTGTTTTGTTTTTGAAATTTTGAGACAGGGTCACTATGTAGCCCTGGCTAACTTGGGGTCTGTGTGGAGTCCAGGCTGGTCTGGAACTCAAGAGATCAGCCTGCCTCCATAGTGCTAGGGTTAAAGGTCACCACTGCCTGGCGAAATATTTTTAAAAAATGAAATGAGAAAAATACATTTCTAGGTTATATCTCAATCTCAGTTCATGTTTGTGTAATATAGTCTCATGTTGTTCATGCTGACCTTGAACTTATTATGAAACCAAAGATGACTTCCATTCCTGACCCTCCCACTTTTCCTTCCTTACCAAGTGCTACAATTAAATAAATGTGCACGTGTGCTTGCCTCCATTTCTTCTGTTGGAGACAGGGTCTTATATAGGCCAGGTTGGGCTTAAACTTGCTATCCTGCCGCCACTCAGCCTGCAGACTGTTGAGATTATCAGCATACATACACCATTACCCTTGGTCCCTTTCTTCATTTACTATCTATAAAACTATATTGCTTATTTCAGTGAAAGTTGAAATGCTAAATCATATTAATTACATGCTTTCTAAAATGGATAGGTGTTAATGTATAATTTCTTTTTTTTCCTCCACAGCGGATGGATTTAGGAGAATGTACCAAAATTCACGACTTGGCCCTTCGAGCAGATTATGAAATTGCAAGTAAAGAAAGAGACCTGTTTTTTGAATTAGATGTAAGATTTTTTAAGATGTTGATTTATCAGTGCTGCAAAGTATCAGTTGCTATTGAGAGTAATATTATGTTTGTAAATTACAAAGCAAAATAATATGCACTTAGCCAACCACTTTTAAGTTCTAATCTGTAACAGGTGGGTCTCAGCCTGTTAATGTATTGAATTCTATTTCATTGTTTTGGTTTTTTTTTTTTTTTTGTCTCGTATAGTACATTCTGATAGTACTTGCTGTGTAGCCAATTATAGTCTTGAATTCTTGATTCTGTTCTCAATGAGTGGTGAAATTACAGCCATGTGCCATCATGATAGGTTTGTATACTGCTGGCAGTTGAACTCAGAGCCTCATGCATGCTGTACAGCATTCTACCAATTAAGCTATATTCCCAGCTCCTGGAAATTTTTTTTTAGCAAAAGAGACTATTATCTTAAGATGTCAGGTTTCAAAAATTGATAGGACTGTATCTCTTGGATATACTAAACTAAAATGACAATATACTTATTTATTTATTTATTTATTTATTTTTGGTTTTTCGAGACAGGGTTTCTCTGTATAGCTCTGGCTGTCCTGGAACTCACTCTGTAGACCAGGCTAGCCTCGAACTCTCGAACTCAGAAATCCGCCTGCCTCTGCCTCCCAAGTGCTGGGATTAAAGGCGTGCGCCACCACCGCCCGGCTACTTATTTATTTTTAAATGGGCATTTTGTCTGCCTGTATGTCTGTACCATCTGTCTGTGTGGTGCTATTGAAGGCCAAAAATAGGTTTTGGGTTTCTTGGGACTGAAATTAAGATGATTGTGAGCTACCTTGTAGGTGCAAGAGATAGAACCTAGGTCTTCTCTGAAAGAGCATCCAGTGTTCTTAACCATTAAGGTGTCTCTCCAGCCTCTTAATTTTTATATATTAGCTTTATTTATCTACTTTCGTATATATGGATATTTTATATATCATATATATATACTTGAAGCCTTTGAAGGCTAGAAGAGGGCATTGAATTCCCTGAATTGGAGTTAACATCCAGTTTTAAGCCACCCAGTACGCTCTGTGTGTGTGTGTGTGTGTGTGTGTGTGTGTGTGTTTAGAATAGAACCTGAAGAGTAACAGGTATTTCTAACTACTGATCTCTGGTCTCCAGACTCCTAATTAATTGGTTTTTTTGAGACAAAGTCTCACATTGTCAGCTCAGGCTGGCTGGAATTCACTGTTTTCTAGCTTGTCTTGAATGAGCCTCTTGCTTCAGCCTCCTGAATACTAGGATTACAGGTGTGAGCTACTATGTTCCACTCAATGCCTTTTTAAAGTAGCCTGGTTAATGATGTAGAAGATCTTAGGAAAAAAATGGGAACATTTGTAGTGATTAGTATATTATGAAGAGTGTGGGGTTCATGATTTACACACAATATTGAAAACTCTGGATCAAGCAACTAAAAAAAAAAAATGAATAACGAATTGTATCTTCCAAAATTTTCTAGTCTTAATTTTTTCATCTCATTTTTAGCCAGGATTGAAATTTATTTTGGGGCCTAGAGACATGGTTGTTCTAGAGGACCTGACTACATAATTGTTATTCCTAGAACTCATTATATAGACCCAGGCTGGTCTTAAGTTCACTGAGCTCACCTACCTCTGCCTCCTGAATGCCAGTTTTAAAGGTGTACAGCGTCACACGCGCAGCTTCTATTTTTGTTAATGTGGATGCCTGTCGGGTATATACATTTGACTATAGATCTTGTCAGAAGCCACAAAAGATGATAGAATTGTGAGCCACCTGACTTGAGTGTGAGAAACTGAACTCTAGACCTCTTAACTGCTGAGTCATTTCCAGTCCCCTTGTTTTGTTACCTTGAGATGATATAAATATAGATGTTGCCTTAGATAGTGTTTCCATTGCTGTGAAGATACACCAAGACCAAGGCACCTTGTACAAGGAACAACATTTAATTGGGGCTGGCTTACATTTTCAGAGGTCTAGTTCATTAACATTGTGGCAGGAAGCATGGCAGCGTCCAGGCACACATGGTGCTATAGGAGCTGAGTGTTCTCTGTCTTGCTCTGGAAGGGAAGGGAACTAAGACTGGCTTCCAGGTAGCTAGGAGGAGGGTCCCAAAGCTCACCCTTAACCTGACACACTTTCTCCAACAAGGCCACACCTCCTAATAGTGTCACTCCCTGGGCCAAGCATATTCAAACCACCATACATACATTTTCTTCTGTTCTGGCACTTATCATGTAGAGCCCTTTTCCCAATCCTTTGGATTCATTGATACATTTATCTGTGTAGGAATTCAAGGTGAGGAGTCAGACATTTTATCTGTGTAAGAGTTTGGAGTAGGATGGGGTGGTGCAAACTCTTAAACCCAGCACTCAGGCAAAATTAGGTGCATCTCTTGAGTTTGAGGCCAGCCATGACTACACAGGGAAGCCCTGTCTTAGGGGAAAATAATTCAAGGAAGCTGGCAAAATGGATTAATAGGGGTCTGCTGTTGGGCCTGAGAATTTGAGATTAATCTCTGGTGCCTACATTGTGGAAAGAGAAAGCTCCCTCAAGATGTCCTTTGACTTCCACACATGGTGTATGCACCCTATAATACACAAACACAAAATTAAAAATGTGTATTGTCCCATCACCACATACATGGATAAAAGAAAGGGTAATATCAACTAACAGGGCCTAGTTTCCATTGTAAGATGTAACTTTGGAGACTTAATGCATAGTTTTGTGACTTGTTGAGACATTGTGTTCTATTTAGAGATTTGGTAGGAGAATAGAGCTGAAGTATTTATAGTATTTCAACCAGTATAGTAACCTGGTTGATTGATAGTGTGTTAACTTTTTATGATAATTTCACATTGTAAATGTACATGTTAAATAACCTTTTTGTTTTTCAGTTATACATCAGTATTGACCTGCATAACAATCCTTTAAACTAAGACAGATTTTTTTTTTTTTCCTTTTCTTTTTTGAGACAGGGTTTCCCTGTGTAGCCCTGGCTGTCCTGGAACTCACTCTGTAGACCAGGTTGGCCTGGAACTCAGAAATCCACCTGCCTCTGCCTCCCAAGTGCTGGGACTAAAGGCGTGCGCCACCACCGCCCGGCCAGATTTTTTGTAATATGTACATGGATGGTCTACTTCCTTTATATGTAAAATAATCCTTCTCTTGAGATATTTAATGTAGCTCAGTTTGGCTTCAATCTTGATGGATAGCTAAGTTCTCATCCTTTTCCCTCTGCTTTCCACCATACTGGGTTTATGACACGATTGGGATCAAACCCAGGGCTTTGTATCTAGTAGGTAAGCATTCTACATACTAATTTCCTCCCAAGCTAGTATTAACTAATTTTTAAATATTTTATGTAATGATTTTTGAGGCATGATCTCACTATATAGCCCTGGCTAGCCTTCAACTCAGATTCTCCTGTCTCTTTTAGGATTTAAAGGTATGTTCCAGCAGGCTCAGTAATTTTTATTTTTGGTTTTGGTTATTTGAAACGGTTTCTCTGTGTAGCCCTTGCTAGCCTTGAACCAGAGATCTGCCTGTCTCTTGTCTCCTCTGAGAGCTGGGATTAAAGGCATTTAATATAACTTGATATAGACCAGACTGGCCTCAGACTCACTTGACTCTGCCTTTGGAATGCTAGGATCAAAGGCATGAGCCATCAAACTTGTCTGTCTGTCTGTCTTCCTTCCTCCCTCCCTTCCTTCCTACTTCCCACTTCCTTTTATGCCTTCTTCCTTCCCTCCCTTCCTTCCTCCTTTTCCTATTTCCTTCTTTCCCTCCTTTTATCCCTCCCCCTCTCTCCTCTATCTCTTAATTTTTTGCTCAGCAGTTTTTTTAGTTTTGAATTTTATTTTGGGGCCTATAGACATGAATGTCCTAGAGGACCTGACTTTATTTTTCAGCACTCACAAGGTGACCCAGAACTGTTTTTAGCCCCAATACCAGGAAATCTCATACTATCTTTGGCCTTTGACAGCATTGCACACATGGTGTACGTAGATGTACATGCAGGTAAAACATCCATAAAAATTATTTTTAGCTGGGCAGTGGTGGTGCACACCTTTAATCCCATCTCTGAGTTCGAGGCCAGAGATCCGCCTGCCTCTGCCTCCCAAGTGCTGGGATTACAGGCATGTGCCACCACTGCCCAGCCTTTCTTCCTGTTTTGACACAGGGTTTCTCTGTAGCCCTGGCTGTCCTGGAACTGGCTCTGTAGACCAGGCTGGCCTAGAACTCAACAGAGATCTGCCTGCCTCCTCCTGCTCGGGTTAAAGGTGTGCATTACTACTGCCCAGCTGTCTCTTAACCATTTTATAAGAGTTCTAGGAAACAGATTCAGTCTTAATACTTCATACTTTCTTGGCAAAGTCCTTATTAGCCACTGAACAACTTCTGAACTGCACCTCCCCTCTAACATGTGGGATACCTCTCTTTATCTTAGACTATAGCCCCAAATTGGCCTCTTGATTCTTTTTTTTTTTGATTGACTGGACCTTTTAATAACCTAGAAATGTATCTTTTGGAGACTTAAAACAACTTGCCCAAATAGGAACAAATAAAAACAGTGGACAAGGCTCGGCCTCTAACTCTTAATAATCCTCCTGCCTCAGCCTTCTGCTATGTGCCTGTGGAGACCAGATGACAAGCTTGGCTGTTTTTCGATAGATGGTATCCACTTGTGGGATTTTTGTTGTTGTTTGTTTTTATTTTTTAAATTTTTATTGATTATATACTTTTTTTTTTTTTTTTTTTTTAGATTTATTTATTTATTTTATTTATGAGTACACTGTCGCTGGCTGTCTTCGGACACACCTGAAGAGGTCATCCAATCTCATTACGGATGGTTGTGAGCCACCATGTGGTTGCTGGGATTTGAACTCAGGACCTCTGGAAGAGCAGTCAGTGCTCTTAACCGCTGAGCCATCTCTCCAGCCCCCGATTATATACTTTTAAATATTTTTTGTTTTTACATTTATTTGCTTGTATATACACACACACGCACACACACATTTGTGGAAATAGGTTTTCTCTTTGCATTATGTGGGTTCCAAGGACTGAACTTAGATTAATCAGGCTTGGTGTCCAGTGCTTTTACCCACTAAGCTATTTTTCCAGCTCCTCACCTTGTTATTCGAGACAGGGTCTCTCATTTAGCCTGGGATGTACCAAGTAGATCAGGCTGGTAGTTGCTGGCATATGTATACTTTTGAGGGATTGAATTTAGGTCCTTAAGTTTGCACAGCTAACACTTGACCAGCCAAGCAATTCCCTTAGTTCACTTGGTAATGTTACAGAGAGTTGAAGATCCTTCTACTAGTTTGGAAATAAGTAAGTCAGTCATTTGGTTTGACAAAGCAATCATAATAAATTGGTAAGCAGAATATTAGCTCATGCTGTCACTACAAATACCAGTAGCAGAGATAGGAATTACAATTACTTTTTATGAGACTAGATCTCATGTAACCCTGGCTGGCCAGAATTCACAGAGATGTGCCTGCCTAATGTATATGGGAAATTTTAGGCCCACAAAACAACAACCAAACAAAGAAATAAATACAGGCTTGTGTTTTTGTTACATGCATAGGTGGTAAGACTATGCAGTGTTGGCAGAATATGGTGTGAACACCTGTCATCTAGCACTCTGGAGGATAAGGCAAGAAGATTGTGAGTTCGCAGAAACTGAGCTCCATGCAAGTGCCTTCAGCTTGGAAACTCATCTAAACTAGGCTATCTCGTGTTCAAACTTTAGAAGTTTAAAATAAAATACTTTGCATCCTAAGTTGCCAATTTAAAAAAAAAAAAGAAGAAGATGATTGTGAGTTCAAGGCCAGTCTAGAATACATACCAAATTTTGGACCAGCCTGGTCTATGAGATTTTGTCAGGGGAAACTGGTCTGGGGATGTAATTTAGTAGAGTGCTTTCCTAGCATATTTATGGTCTTGGGTTTAATGTCCAGCACTCATCAAGTAAAAGCCACACAATGAAAAACTGTGTAGTACTGATCATAACTCTGCTTTTCCCAAACTAGGCTATGGATCACTTAGAATCCTTCATTGCAGAGTGTGATCGGAGAACTGAACTTGCCAAGAAGCGGCTGGCTGAAACACAGGAGGAAATCAGTGCAGAAGTTTCTGCCAAGGTATATTAAGTAACTGCTATAACTCACTTTTTGTCTTACCCTCACACTAGATGAGGATTCGGAATAGATGGTGCTTTCCATCTTGACTGTTTTCATTGGAGACAGGGTCTGTGACCAAGCATTTGTGAGTCACAGGAACCTGTATGCCTCCCTGTCTGCCTTTCTTTTTTATTCTTTTCGAGACAAGGTCTAACTAGATTGATTAGGCCAATTTTTAATTTGTAGAGATCTGCCTGCCTCTTGAGTGCTGGGATTAAAGGCATGCGGATCTAGTTAAAATTTCTTAGGCTGTATGCAGTTACTAACTAAAAAAAGATGCTATTGTGTTGATAAGTCCTGGCAATTGGATATTTTGCTTGCATCTTAAGTTTTTATGTTTTTTTTTTTTTTTTTTTTTGGTTTTTCGAGACAGGGTTTCTCTGAGTAGCCCTGGCTGTCCTGGAACTCACTCTGTAGACCAGGCTAGCCTCGAACTCTCGAACTCAGAAATCCGCCTGCCTCTGCCTCCCAAGTGCTGGGATTAAAGGCGTGCGCCACCACCGCCCGGCTTAAGTTTTTATGTTAAACCTTGACATTTTAGTATCCGTACCCAGAAGACAAAAGATTATGCAGATGAGTGTATCTTCTAAAGTGTCAATTTTAAGACAGTCTGTGAGCCATTGCAAAACAAAACCAGCATGCAGTGGAGCATGTTGATTTATTTAGAGTCTAGTGTAATGACAGTAAGGGTGTATAGTTTTGTTTTGACACAGGGCATTTTATGGTTCCAGCTGGCCTTGAACCAGCTATGTGAGAGTGATCTTGCACTCATGATACCTCTAACCACCCTCTCAGCCTCCATCCTAATGTTGGATCATTGGCTACATTGCCACTGAGCTTTAAGTCTTTAAGTGTGGCTGAGTCTGGATTTTAAGATGTTTATTTTCAGAGGAATAGGTCAGACATGCAGCAAGAAAAAGAGATACTTGGTTCTTTTGTATTAATATTCGGTATCTGATTCTCTGTTTCCAGGCAGAAAAAGTACATGAATTAAATGAAGAAATAGGAAAACTTCTTGCTAAAGCTGAGCAGCTAGGAGCTGAAGGAAATGTGGATGAATCCCAGAAGATTCTTATGGAAGTGGAAAAAGTTCGCGCAAAGAAAAAAGAAGCAGAGGTTGGTGGTTATAGACTTGGAGACATGGTTTCTTTGTATAGTCCTGGTTGTCCTCAAATTTGCTGTGTAGACCAGGTTGGCCTTACAGAGATCTTCCTGCTTCTTCTCCCATATGCTAGAATTAAAGACTTGCCCCACTATACCTGGCTCTCTGTGTGTCAGTGTGTGTGTATACATGAATGTATGTGTATCTCAACATTTTGTTTGTTTTTTAAACAAGGTTTTTCTGTATAGCTTTTGTTGTCCTTGAATTCACTCTGTAAATCAGACTGGCCTCAAACTCTGCCCGTTTCTGCCTCCTGAGTACTGGGATAAAGGCATTCACCACCACCACTTGGCTATTTTTTTTTTAATGTGTATTTTGCCTACATATATGTATACCATGTGGATATCTGACTAGTTCCTCCAGGAGACCAAATGGCTCTGGAACTGGAGTTAATTTTTTGGTTGTGAGCTGTCATGTGAGTTCTTAAGTCCTGGAATAGAAGCAATCATTCTTAATCACTGAGCCTTCTTTCCAGCCCCATTATTTTGATTTTTTTTTAAACATGGTCACACTTTATTGCCCTGGCTGATCTGTAATGTAAAATAATCCTTCTATCTGAGCTTGCCAGTTACAGGTATCAGCCATTATTCCCAGCTAAGAAATGTTTTAAGGTAAGAGAAGTATTAGTGTTCAGTCACAGTGGACACACTTATGATCCCAGTTCTTGGGGGAGGGCTAGGAAGATTAGGAATTCAAAATCAAAGGGCAGTGTTGGCGCACACCTTTAATCCCAGCAGTTGGGAGGCAGAGGCAGGTGGATTTCTGAGTTCGAGGCCAGCCTGGTCTTACAGAGTGAGTTCCAAGACAGCCAGGGCTACACAGAGAAACCCTGTCTCGAAAAAATTAAAAAAAAAAAAAGTGGGGGGGGGGATTCAAAACCAGCCTTGGCTACATAGTAAGTTTGAGGCCATTCTGGGCTGCTTGAGTGTCTGCCTCAAAACGAAGAAAAGTGGCATTAGGGGAGTGATACTAATTTAACAAATTAGTGTATTTGGGCCAATGTTAAGCCATTTCTATATTCTTTTTATTTCAAATAATAATCTTTATAACTTAATGTGGTCACAAGTTTTCAGAAAATTTAAGATTGGGTCAGAAACTTCCAAATTATCACCTAAAGCATCCCATTGTCAGCGCCCTGCTCCCAGAATGGTGTGTTACCATTACTATACCTGCACTTCAACATCATTGTCACTCTGCATGTTGCAGTTTACATCAATAAAAGTATTGTATATTCTTTAGGTTTTAGAAAGTTTATTAAAGAACCTATATCCATCTTTTATATAGCTTACATTTGCTCTTAAGACTTTTTTGGTCTACCTGATTGGGGGCAGGGGTGTATGAAAGAGGAAGAGCATGGCTGCCTCTGACCAGGACTCCTGGAGGAATTGCCCCCACCCTACCTGTTGTTTGTTCTTCTCCATGGTTGTAACTGTTGCCCCAACAATAAGTACTATTTCTGTAACTAGTGTAGAACAAAGCCGTTAGATAGTCTTGTTGGTCTTGTTAAACCCAGCATTGTTGATTACTACAGCATCAGGGTACCTTGGGAGTCCTCATCTGAGTAATAGATAAAATATTCTGTGATCAGATCTGTAATACCCTTTTTCTTAAGATTTTTTTATTACATTTTACTTTGTGTACACAGGTGCATATGCTATTGTAGGTGCTGAAGTCAGAGGGCAGCTTTCAAAGTCAATTTTCTTTCCACCATGAAAAGTCTCAGAGATCAAATTCAAGTTAGTAGATTTGACAGCCCTGTTCTACTGTTTGAGCCTCTTCTAGTGGTATAGAAATTGAGCACAGGCCCCAGTGGAGGAGTTAGGGGAAGGACTGAAGGGGCCTATCTGGCCTCAGTGGGAGGGGAGGCCCTTGGTCCTGTGAAAGCTTGATGCTCCAGTGTAGAGGAATGCTAGGGTGGTGAGGAGGGAATGGGTGGGTGAGTAGGGGAGCACCCTCATAGAAGCAGGGTAAGGGGGGAATGGGGGTTTGCAGAGGGGAAACGGGGTAACATTTGAAATGTAAATAAATAAAATATCCAATTAAACAAAACAAAAAAGAAATTGGAGAGTGGGATAGGGAGTTATAATGCTATGTTGATAATGACTTTCAATTAGAATGTTTGTGGAACTTTTTAAATGTGTGTGGTGCTTTGAACCTATGGCCTTATGCATGCTAGGGAAATGTTCCATGTACTGAGAAGTTTTGTCATTTTTGACACGTTACAGTCCTCTCAGGAAGAGGCACCTCATTTTGAGAAATTGCTTCTATCAGACTGGTGTGTAGGGTATTTTGGTCTATCATTGTATTATATTCCCAGCCCTTCTTTCTTTTGAATTATTTTGCCTGTTGGTTATTTTTGTGAGGATGGGAATGACCCCTTTGGCCTTGTGTATGCTTCACAAGTTCTCTACCACTCTGCCCATCATCAGCACCACTCAGAACATCAGCTCTGATTCTAGTCTACTAGTTACAATTCTAAGTCTTTTTTATTTTTTAAAGATTTATTTATTTTATGTATGTGAGTACATTGAGTACACTGTTGCTGTCTTAAGACACACCAGAAGAGGACATCAGATCCCAGTATAGATGGTTGTGAGCCACCATGTGGATGCTGGGAATTGAACTTGGGACCTCTGGAAGAGCAGGGGGTGGTGCTCTTAACCACTGAGCCGTCTCTCCAGCCCTACAACTCTAATTCTGCTAGTTACAAGCTCATTCTGTTGTAAGAAATATGAGTTAACGAGTGGTTCAATGGATAAGTAACCTGTGCTGGAGAAGCCTGGTGACTTGGGTTTGAGTCCTGGAGAGAACTGATTCCTGAATGTTTTCTTCCCATGACACATACACCTACACAGTCATACACACACATAGCCCTGAGTTAAAAGCAAAAAATATAAGAAATAATGCAGAGATCCTGCTGTTCTTCTGTAGCCACAATTCCTTCTCTGATGATTAGGTGTAGTGTACTCATTAGCTCTTTTTTTCAGGGACATTTAGGGCTCCTGCTTGGGGTTTAATAATAATGATACAGAGACATCAGAGACATCTGGCCTTTTTTGCCATGGCAGTCCCACAGCTACTCAGTCCACTTCCGTGCCCTACCTATTCTGTTTTACTCCTCTGTTCCAGCTCTTTATCAAAAGCCACATTCCTTTCTTTTTTTTTTTTTTCTTTCGAGACAGGGTTTCTCTGTGTAGCCCTGGCTGTCCTGGAACTCACTCTGTAGACCAGGCTGGCCTCGAACTCAGAAATCTGCCTGCCTCTGCCTCCCAAGTGCTGGGATTAAAAGCGTGCGCCACCACTGCCCAGCTGCTACATTCCTTTCATGTACAAAAAAAAAAAATCTATTAGCACAGTGGGGAGAGATTCCACAGCTTACTCATTCTGAACCAATCAGTACCAGGACTATGCCCCTTCCATATCTTAGTGTTGCCTTTTGGCCAGATTAGGAACACTGCCCTTCCCCATGGCAGCTTGCTTTTTAACATGATACTCTTGAGAGAATCTTCTTTTTGGGCAGGTGAGGAAGTATGTATAGAAAGCAGATATTGTGGACTATAGAAGTGACAATACCATATATCCTGCCAGCACTTAGTTGAGAATAGAGGGACACACCTTCATAGATAGTTGATAAAATATTTGTGGGGGCAGATTACCCCAGCACTCTTCATTTCTGGAACTGATTTTTAAGATGATAAGCTGGGCACAGTAGCCCATACCAGATGTTTCAGTGAGCCTGAGCCAGGAGAATCCTGCATTCCAGGCCAGCCTGACCTAAATAATAAGGATGTTTTTAATGTGTATGTATATTTTATTTGCTTGTCTGCTTACCACGTGCCTAAAGAGGTGTGAAGAGGGCATTGGATTCTCTAGGACTGGATGTTTGTGGGTGCTAGGAGTCCAACCTAGGTTTTCTGAAAGAGCATCCAGTGCTCTTAACCACTGAGCCATTTCTCTAGCCCTAAAGGGGGCTAGAATTTAAGCATGTCTGTAGTCCCTCAGGAGAGGTTGGAGAGTCACATCAGTTCAAGGTCAGATTGGGCAATTTAACAAGACACTTGAAAATATAATTTGTAGTCTGAGGGTGATGGCATGTCTTTAATTCCAGCATTCTAGTGTAGCTGTTCTCAACCTGTGGGTTGTGACCCTCAAGGATTGTGAAACAACCCTTTCACTGGGGTCACATTAAAGACCATCAGAAAACACAGGTATTTATTACATTATGATTCATAACAGTAGTAAAATTATAGTTAGAAAGTAACAACAAGACTAATTCTATGGCTGGTGGGGTTCTACTACATGAACTATATTAAAGGGTCACAGTATTAGAAAGGTTGAGAACCACTGATCAGAGGCAAGCTTATCTCTTTGAGTTCAAGGCCATCCAGGGACACAAAGGCAATCTTTTTAGGGGGAAAATTTTTTTTTTTTAATTAAATAAACGATAGACTAGAAAGATGGCTAGGTGGTTGAGAGCACTGGATGATCCTCTAGAGGATCTGTGTTCAATTCTTAGCACCCACATAGCAGCCCATAACCGTCTGTTCCAGGGGATCCATGGCACCATGTATTCATCTGGACATATGTGTGCATGCAGACAGAGTACCCATACATACAAAATAATAAATCTTTTTAAAAAATAATCAGTGACCTATATTTGCCACATAAGTTTGACCACTTATTGGAAATCGTGGTAAAAGGGGAGAACTCAAGTTGTTCTCTAACCCTAGCTGCCTTGAAATAAACTAGGATCTTTTAGAATTGTTGATGATATTTGGTTACTGGGTATAAATCTGTTCTGGCTAAGGTTTTTTAATTAAATACTTATTTAATACATGAGTGCTCTGCTGCATGTACAGCCGACATGTCAGAAGAGGGCGTCAGATTCCTTTATAGATGTGGTCGTAAGCTATCATGTGCTTGTTGGGAATTGAACTCGGGACCTCTGGAAGAGGCTTTGAGCCATCTCACCAGTCCCTGTGTTGGCTAGTTTTATGTCAACTTGACACAAGCTGTAGTCATCTGAGCAGAGCAAAGTCAGTTGATAAAATGCCTTCAGAAGATCTAGTTGTAAGAACACAAGCCTGTAGGGAAGCATTTTCTTAGTGATTGTTGTGGAAGGGACCAGCCTACTGTGAGTAGGGGCACTCCTGGGCTGGTGGTCCTGGGTTCTATAAGAAAGCAGGCTGAGTAAGCTGGTAAGCAGCACTTCTTCATGGCTTTTGCATAGCTTCAGGCTCCAGGTCCTGCCCTTATTTCCTTCAGTGATAGACAATGATGTGGAAATGTAAACCAAATAAAAATAAATCAGTTTTCTCCCCAAGTTGCTTTTGGACTTGTATCAAATAGCAATAGTAAGCCTAACTAAGATGTTTTAGTGCTACAGGCTTCTATTTTATCCACACAGAACATTTAATGGTAGTTTCTGAAATTTTAGTGAGTGTTTATAAATTGTTCTAAAGTGGTTACTTGTTCTTTTTTGTTTGTTTGCTTGTTTTTTCGAGACAGGGTTTCTCTGTGTAGCCCTGGCTGTCCTGGAACTCACTCTGTAGACCAGGCTGACTTGTTCTTAAATACCTACTGTCACAGGGTTTTCTAGGCCATTACCTGGAAGAATTCCTGGATACTGGTGCACATGGAGATGTTCTTTCTGTTTAAATTTGTATCTGTGCGCATGTGTGTGTATGTGCATGCAATTAGGCCAAGACAATTACATCTTGGGGAGTTATAGATTATAGTGTTGCTGCTTGTGTCTGTCTATCTGTATCTGTCTATCTATCTTATCTATCTATCTGTGACCAGTCTTTAAAAAAAAAAAAAAGGAATGATTTTCTTCAATGATTTGGCAGCAGTGTTTTAACTGGAGTTCAAGAACTAGTTACAGTGTGCCTGGTTTCTTTTTGTTTGATGTATTTTGCTTTGAGGCAGAGTGAGAGATTGTTCTCAGTACATTTTTAGTGTTCCTAGAGGATGCATGTTATATGTTGGGTACTTTTCTCTTCAAGAAAACTGTCAGTGATTTGGCCTTTTCACAGTAATGTTTAGACCTACATTTGATATATCCTGGATATCAAGACCCAATTGCTATGACTGCTCTAGTTTTTGCTTTCTTTTAAAATATATTTACTTTAATTCTATGTGTGAAGGGCTATATGCATGTGAGTATAGGTGGCTGAGATGGACTAGAGGCATTGGCTCTCCCTTGAGTTGGAGTTACTGGTGGTTGTGAGCTGTCTAACATGAATGCTGGGAATTGATCTGTTTCAGGTCTTCTGCATGAACAGTACAAATTATTTTGTTGTTGTTTTGAGATAGGGTTTTTCTGTGTAACAGCCCTGTGGCTGTCCTGGAACTCATGTTGTAGATCAGGCAGGATGACTTCAAATTCACAAAGATCCCTCTTTTTCTGCTTCCTGAGATTAAAGGTGTCTGTGACCACACCCAGGGAGCAGCATACATTCTTGAGCCCAACTTTTTTTTTTTTTTTGTAGTATTTTTTTTTCCCAAGTTAAAAAAAAAATATATATATGCCAGCCTGGTCTACAGAGTGAGTTCCAGGACAGCCAGGGCTACACAGAGAAACCCTGTCTCGGAAAAAAAAAAAAAAAAAAAAAAAGCTGTATTTGGGTGTTTGCCTTTATGGCTGTATTTATTACCTTTGTTTAGTGTTCTCAGAAGCCAGGGAAGCACCAGATCCTGTAACTGGAATTACAGATAGATGATTGTTGGCCTCCATGTGTCTGCTGGGAACCACCCCAGGTCCTCTGTAAGAGCAAGTGCCCTGAACCATGTTTTCAGCCCCAGTTTTTATTTAGTTTTTGAAGTCTCTTATTCTTATTCAGAAACTTATCTTCTCTGCTGATCTCTAAGAACAGTCCTTATCTCCATGTTTCTCTTGAGGAGACAAACAAATATTTTATTTTTCAAGATAGGGTTTCTCTTTGTAGCTGTGTGACTCTCCTGGAGCTCAGAGAATCACTTACTTCTAAATGTTAGTTAAACAAACAAACAAACAAACAAACAAAAAAACCAGTGAAATTGAACTTTCTAGCATACCTTAAAGTTGAACAATCCAATTTCAATATGTAGTAAAAAGTTGCCTATATTTCAGGTTTTTCCATTTGGGGATCTGTGCAGAGTGACAGTTCTGAAATGCCTCATCTTTATTTTTTTTTCCTTATAGGAAGAATATAGAAATTCCATGCCTGCATCCAGTTTTCAACAGCAAAAACTCCGTGTTTGTGAGGTTTGCTCAGCTTATCTTGGTCTCCATGACAATGACCGTCGTCTTGCAGACCACTTCGGGGGCAAGTTACACCTGGGGTTCATTCAGATACGAGAGAAGCTTGACCAATTGAGGGTATGTTAATATATTCTGTTTCTGGAGAACTCTTTTGGAGTCTTGTGGTCACCTTTAGCTTTAATTTAAAAAAATTGACTATTTAAGTTGGATTTGAATATGTTTCTGTGTTGATTGGTTTTGTTGTTTGTTTGGGTTTGGGTTTTTATTTCTTAATTTATTTTAACAACTTACTTATTTTTATTTTATGTACATTGGTATTTTGCTTATGTCTGTGTGAGAGTATCAGATCCCCTGAAACTGGAGGTATAGAGTTATGAGCTGCCATTTAGGTTGTGGGAATTGAATCCTGATCCTCTGGAAGAGCAGCTGGTGCTTTTAACCATTGAGCCATCTCCAGCCTCCTTATTTAGTGTTCTCGAGATAGGGTTTCTCTGTATCCTTTGGTGTTCTGGAACTCACTCTGTAAACCAGACTGGCCTCAAACTCCTGAGATCCGATTGCCTCTGTCTCCCGAGTGCTTCGATTAAAGGCGTGGACCACAATTGCCTGTCACATATTACTGGGTTTTAAAAAAAATAGTTTCATTTTATGCATGTGAGAAGTAATTTGTCTGCATTTATATCTGTTTACCACATTCTTGCAGTGCCTTTGGAGGCCAGAAGAGGGCAGTGGATCCCCTGGAGTTAGAGCCAGTTTTTATTCACCATGTGATGTTCTAGGGTTCTTCAGTCCTGTGGCAGAACAACTTAAGCTGTCTGTCCAAATTCTGTCCAGTCCTGTTTTTTCCTTTGTTTCTCTCCCCCTCTCTTTCTTTCTCTCTCTTTCCCCTTCTGTTTTTGTTGTTGTTTGTTCAATTCATTCTGATGTTAGATATAGCCAGAGCCTCCTGCCTAGTCTACCACTGAACTAAATCCTAAATTCCAAGGTAATGTTCTTTTTGATAAGTTGAATTGTCAGGCTTCAAAATGATTGTGCTTACCCTACTTACTACATGTGGTAAGGTATACTCATGAAGTGGGAAAACAGATATGTGGCACCTGACTGCAAAATATAGAATGCTCTAATATTTCTAAGTCACTATTGGGAGCCTTGTATGTTCCCAAAGCAGACCTCCTTATTAAGGCAAAGGGGGAAACTCTGTAATTCCAGGAAGTTTTTTTAACTTAACGCAATAGAGAAGCTTGGAGCTAGAGGGGCTGGCACTGAGAGTGTTTTCTAAACACTTTGCTAAGGTCTAGTGAGGTAGGTGTCTTAGTGACTAAAGGTCCAGAACACCGCTTCAGTCCCCAGAACACATGGAGTAGGAGAGAGCTTACTCATGGGGGCTGTCTTTTGACTTCCGTGTACCCTAAATAAATTAGATTTTTTGTTTGTTTGTTTGTTTTAGACAGGGTTTCTCTGTGTAGCCTTAGCTGTCATGGAACTCTCCGTAGACCAGGCTGGCCTCGAAACTTAGAGAGATCTGCCTACCTCTGCCTCTGGAGGGCTGGGATTAAATATGCCCAGCAATAAATCTGATTTTAATAGCATTTTGCTGGGGTTAAGAACGTAACTCAGGGGCTGGAGAGATGGCTCAGTGGCTAAGAGCACTGTGTGCTTTTCCAAAGTTCCTGAGTTCAGTTCCCAGCAATCACATGCTGGTTCACAACCATCTATAATGGGACCTAATGCCCTCTTCTGGTGTGTCTGAAGACAGCTACAGTGTACTCATATACATAAAAAATAAATAAATTTAAAAAAAAGAACGTAACTCAGTTGAAACCCTGGATTTGATCAGTATCACATAAATCCAGGTGTGCTCTGTAATCTTGGTGTTGGAGAAACAGAGGCAGGAAGGTCAGAATATTAAGGTTATCTTCAGGTGTCTGGTCAGTTTGAGGTCCATTTGTTGAGACCTTCCCTCAACAAAAATAATAGCTTCTGTCTTTCCAATAGCATTTTAATGTTCTACATTATATATTTTCATGGGTATGAGTTTGGTTTGCTGGTCATGTGAGGTGGGTGATAGGACTTGCTTAGGAAGTCATGCCATACCCACAGGCCTGTTCCCAGCCAGACCTGCTTTAGGGAAGTGTGAAAGGAACTTGGAGCTGACTGTTTTATATCTAGCTCAGATTAAGGACTCTAATTGGAAGTGTAGAGTTTGAGATGCTAGTTGAGACAGCTCACCTAGGTCTTGCTGCATCCTCTCATCTGGAGAGTACTTGCTTTAATTACTGGGCATAGAAATTTTTCTTACTATCCCTGCTCTAAGTAGGGAACACTGATGAGTGTTTGTTTTAAGGGGTGTGACTTATTCCCCCATTCAGGACTTCATTTCATTCACTCTTCCCAGATGATGTATTACAGGGTTACTACTACTAATAATAATATATAATAATAATATCGTATTATTGGTGCATTATAGAGATTGACACTTTTCAAGCTAGCTTAAGTCGATGCTCATTTGGTGGTAGATGTTCTCAGAGCCTCCTGCCTCTGCATATAGGATCAAGCTTGATGAATTAAATGTACAATTGTGCTAATGTTATCATAGCACACACCAAATCAAAGGTGAGCTGCTTCTGGCTCCTTACAGCCCTACTCCTAACAGCAGGGTGCTATTGCTATTGGTCTGAGTTAAGTTTCCTTTACTAACTTTTTTACTGCAAAGCTTGTGGAGAGGCTGTAGGATGAACAGCTAAGTTTATAGCTTGGTTTGAAGCATTGTGATTAAGCCCTGTGCCTTAGAAGTTCAGCCCCTTTTCTGTAATTTGTCACCAAATGTAGAAAATGATGGTTAATTTTTTTTCATGTGTTCTGTTAGTTTTTAAATGTGTAGAATATTGTTTTCTAAAAGCTGTTGCTTTTCCTTTATTTTCCCTTTTTGTTATTTTCATTTATTTAGAAAACTGTGGCTGAAAAACAGGAAAAAAGAAATCAGGATCGATTGAGAAGAAGAGAGGAAAGAGAGCGAGAAGAGCGTCTGGGCAGGAGGTAAGCATGGGCCAGCCTTAGGAAACTGCTGTTTGCTGTTTTGTGACTTGGAGCCATCAGTGTTTGAAGCATGCAAAAGCATGTATTTATTTTTTTTGAAGCAGGGTCTTACTAATGTAATCCAGGCTGGTCTAGAACTTGCAGACATGTGCCTGCTTCTGCCTCCCAAGGGCTGAGATTAGGGTATGTGCCATCACACCTGGCTCCAGGATAGCCTTTAAAAGAAAAATAAACCTACGTCATATTCACTTTGGTGAGGTGCAGTATCGACTGATTTGAACAAGGGAAGGAGGAGCTCACAAGGGTTCTCCCCTCGCCACCCCACCCACCCACCCAGACAGTTTCCCTGTATAGCCCTGGCTGTCCTGTTCTGAACACTCCTGGCTGTCTCAGATTCACTTGACTCTGCCTCCCAAGCACTGGGATTAAAGGTCTGTCCCACCACTACCCAGCCATCTTTTAACCTCACCCAGCTGGCTCCTCATGACAGCTGGGCTTGGAGGCCTTATCAAATAGGGAAGGCAAAAGTCGATTTATTACTGATAGCTAAGTAACTGTCTCATGGCAGTGCATTGAAGGGAAATCATCAGCTTTGGACTTCAGGAGAGAAGCTTTGTATGGCTGTCTTTTTAAATTGGTCTTGTGGGGTCACTGAACAGACTTTCCCATAAAACGTGCAGTTAGAATATGTTCTTGCCCGTTGAGAAGCAGAGTGTAAGGTGTTTGGCAAAACCTCTACACCAGTGAGGCACTGATGGGAGTTTGGAGGGCAGGAAGAATGGGTGGTATGGTCTGGGGTAGGCTGTCTGGAGAAGAACTTACTGGACTTCGTGATTGTTTGAGAAGGAATGAAGTTGGTCTCATGGTTTCTTTTCTTCTTGGTCTTTTGGTACAGTGTTTTTCTGTATATTTCAGGCTGTTGTGGAACTTGCTTTGTAGATTAGGGATCTGATCATCTCTGCTTCTCTGTGCTGAGATTAAAGCATGTGTTATCATCCCCAGCTGGCCTCTTGGTGTATGATCTGGAGTTGTTCCTTTACGGGGACAGGGAGGGTGGAATCAGGAATAGGGGTTAGAATTCGGCTATATTCAACTTGAGTTGCCTGAGAAGTACTCAGGTCAATATTTAGAACTAATTTCAAAGATGAGATCAGAGCCAGACTCAAAAATGCACTCTCAAAGCATCTCACTAAGTTGCCTTAGCTGGCTTCAGATTCACAGAGATCCATTTGCCTTTGTCTCCTTGATGGATTAAATGTGTTCATCTCTTTATCTTTCTGTTTAGGTCTGGATCGAGAACCCGAGATCGCAGGAGGTAGGTTTCAGATCTATTACAGGGCTCTCAGGTTGAATGCCTTTTTCAGTAAAATCATTTAATTGATGTTAAAGCCTCACAAGGCTGCCTTGTGAAGAGCATAGGCGTTGGTTAGGGTTTAGCACAGCAGAACGATACCACATGGACTCCCATGCACTCATGTACACTGGGGTGAAGGAAGACCCTGCTGAAGACCAACTGGGAATGTCCAAGTCCTTCCTTGTTCTTTTTTTTTTTGTTGTTGGTTGGTTGATTGGTGGTGGTTTGTTTTGTTTTTGAGATGGGGTTTCTCTGTATAACCTGGCTGTCCTAGAACTCTTACAGAAGAGACTAGCCTTGAATTTAGAGATTGACCTGCTTCTGCCTCCCAAGTGCTGATATTAAAGGCATATGCCACCACACCTGGCCAAGACCTATGCTTTCCAGAAAAATTCAGGGGAAAGGTTTGGCCATCAGATTAATTCAGCGGACTTACTCATTTCCAAATTGTACATTTGTAGGAGGAAAAAGAAATCCCAGTAACACTGAACGCCAAAAGATGCTGAGAGTTGAGGAATGGGGGTAGGTTTGACCCCAGTGACATCTTGGCTTTCAAAATCATCTGGGTTTTCCAGGTCACGCTCCCGGGATCGTCGACGGAGGCGGTCTAGGTCTACTTCCCGAGAGCGGCGGAAGTTTTCCCGTTCCAGGTCCCGAGATAGATACCGGCGCCATCGCAGCCGTTCCCGGAGCCATAGCCGGGGTCACCGCCGGGCTTCCAGGGACCGGAGTACAAAATACAAGTAACTACTCTGACTCCTCAGTAACTGCAGCCAGAAGTGAGCCCTTTGTCTTTGTGTTCCCAAGATCTGCTAAGATCTGTCATCCTAGCTTTTGGCCATTACATCTGGTAGGGACAAGGTTGGGCTTGTGAGGATGCAGGTTCTGGGTGACTAGCACCCTGGGTTGTTGCCCTGAGGAATAGAGAATGGCACCCAGTGCTTGGAATGGGATAGGGCATTGAGCTTTCACATGGCCCTCCACTTGTCTGGGCTTTTATGTCCTTTAACTTGGTAAAAAGTAGCTGAGATTTTTGTCTTGAACAAGTCTTGCTTAATTACTTCTCTTGGATTTCTTTTGTTTTGTTTTGAGACAGGAATTCACTTTGTAACTTAGGTTGGCTTGAACTCAGGATCCTCCTGCTTCAGCCTCCTGAGTGCTGATATGAAAAGTGTATACCACCACGCTTGACTTGTGCTTTTCCATTCTGCCTTTTCCATTGTCTTTACATCGTGGGTCATATTTCACCCACATAGCTTTGTTGTATTCCCATTTGTTTTGTTTATATTACACTGAAACTTTCCTTATTAAAATTCTTTGCTTTTTATTTATTTTTATTATGTGTATACATTAGTGTATTATGTCACGTGTGTTAGTGTGTGTGTGTGTGTGTGTACATGTTCAGTTGGAGGACAAAAAAGGGTGTTGGATCCTCTGTAGCTGGAGTTACTGGTTATTCTGAGATACTCAACATGGGTGCTGGGAAATGAGCTCAGTTCTTTACGAGAGCATCATATCCTCACCCATATCTCCAGTCCTTAAACCTTTTTGAATGTTACTTACTTTTGATACCAAATCTCACTTTCTAGTGCAGACTGGCTGCAGACTTAATTACTCCTGCTTGTCTCACCCTCCTGAGTGTGAGGATTACAGGTGTTAACCACCATCACCAGCTAAAAGGATCAATTTCTTTTTTTTTTAAATGATTATCTGTGTCATCAGAAACCAGATGAAGTCAAGCTTGGCCAGGTGTTGGTGGTGGTACATTCCTTTAATCCCAGCACTGGGGAGGCAGAACAGGTGGATCTCTGAGTTTGAGGCCTGCCTGGTCTATAGAAGGAGTTTCAGGGCAGCCAGGGCCACATGAAGAAGCCTTGTCTTAAAAAGACAAAAGTGCCTGAATGTGGTGGGGGCATTTCCCTTCTCTCATCCAGGGCTGAGGGTCTGCCTTACTGATTCCTGTGCAACAACCAGACAGAAGGAGGTGGCAGCCTCTGCTGAGCCTCTGGTTCACTTTCCCAGGTTCTCCAGGGAGCGCTCATTGAGAGAGGAATCCTGGGAGTACGGGCGGAATGAACGAGGGCCCACTGACTGGAGGCTGGAGAACTCCAATGGCAAGACTGCATCGCGGAGGTCGGAGGAGAAGGAGGCTGGCGAGATCTGAATCTGGCTCAGGCGCTGTAAATAGTCTGACAAATGTTCAGCACAGCCTAAATTACTCTTTATATTTGCTGATACAACTCATCTTTTGTAGTTAAAATTTCTATTGTTTGGCCCTAGCTGTGAGTTTCTAGAGTTGTTCAGAGCTGCTTCTGTGTTTGGGGTTATGTTGTAGAGGAACAAATAAATCTGGCAGCTGCCTCCTGACAGCTGTGTTGGGATGTCTGCTGTCCTCTACACTAGAGGCACTTCACTAGGACCCTGTACCTGTGGAGCAAAGGCTAATGCTGCCGTAGAAAACTGACCAAATGTCTGACCACTTTAACTTTTGGCACTCCCAACACTCTTAATTGAGCCAGATGTATGTGGCTTCCCTTCCCTGATTCATACTCTGCATCTTAGCTGCTCATGTACTCTCTCAGTGCAGACCATAGAGCAGGTTCTCTGGATGGAGGAGAGGGAGTGGCCATATTACACAATTATTTCCTTAGGAAGAGCTGTATCTGTTGAAACCTTAGGTCAGCTACATTGCAGTTCCACTTTGTTACTTAGGTGGAATAAAGACATAGATGGCCCCTACCTGCCAATCAAGAAGTCCTCCAGAGAGAGTTACAGCTTAGGTCAGGTATCTTGAGTGGTTTATACCCTAAATAGGCTTATTGTTAACCCCTGAGCATATGTTGTTGCTCACAAAGGACAAATGCCTTAAGACCAAAGTGAAGCCCAAATAGAAAGGATTACTGAATAGGAGTTGCTTCTTTTCACTTGTCTTGGGGAGGGAGGTGTTACAGTTTGTTTTTGGAGGGAACTTTAGTTGGTTATGTTAAACGAAAAAGCCACCCTTCTCCATGCTGTGCTTGTAAAAATGTAGGTGCTGTTCTTGAGCTGTTGGTTTGATGGTTACATATAGTATCTTGTGGTTTTGAAATGTAGCTCCTGGTGGTACCCTGGACTCTCATCTATAGGAGAATGTGTGTTGGAACCTGCTCTGCTGGCGTATGAAACAGGCTTTCCTTGATAACTGTCTCCGTATGCAAGGTGGTAGGGTGGAATATCCCTGAAGGATTCACTGGGGCTCAGTATCATACACAGGTGCCATGTATAGGTTTCATTCCTCTCTAGCCCCTTTGCCTCCAAGTGGAGCTCAGTTTAGCTCTGGGCTTCTTGGTCCCAGGTGGACATTTTGACTAGCTGTGATCACTTATGTTGGAAACATTTTGTTTCCTGGACTATTTTCGGCCTTAACTGGACAGTCCTAACCTTAGAGCCACCATCTCCATGTCTGGTTTGGATCCCTTTCTATCTATAAAGGTGTGTATAGAGAAACAGCTGTTTTGCTTTATTTTATCACGGAGTAAAGTTACTGGAAACATTTCTGTGCCATGGCCTGTAGTAGCCACAGGATAATCCATGGGCTCATGTGGTATACAACTACAACTACTGGGGTACAGTAGCGGACCCCTGCTTAGGTAGCATTCTTTTGAGTGGTCAGGTTCCTCGGGGTAGCAGAAAGGCTGCTTCCCTTCTCTCAGTCTCTTGTGGAGGGTGATTTTTTTTTTTGTTTGTATGTTTTTGTTTGTTTTTTGAACTTTTTCTGGAAGGACACTCTTGCCTGGGTAGACTTGGATTTCAGGACTCAAGGCACTTTTGTCTCAGTCCCAAAGTAGCTGTTACTAATAACTGTCCCAACATGCCTAGATGCTTTGTTTTGTTTTCTTTTTTCTTTCTTTCTTTTTTTTTTTGGAGACAGGATTCTCTGTGTAGCCCCAGCTCTCCTGCACTCGCTGTGTAGAACCAGCTGGCCTCAAACTCAGAGATCCTCCTCACTCTGCCTCCTGATGTTTTGTTAACTTTCCTTAATTGGAGTTTCCTGTAGAAAGGGAATTAGGTGAACATAAATAACCAGAGATGTATTTGTTGTGGTGGCTGTGGTGATGGTGGTGGCTCTGGCCATTATGCAAGAAATCCTATAGTCTACCATCTGTAACTTGAGGGCCTGGAACAGGTACTGATGAGGTTCCAGAGCAAACCTCCAAGCTGAAGAACTGGAAGAGTCAGTATTTTCAAAAACCCAGTAACCAGTCACCCATGGGCCAGGGTACAGGAGGTGAATGTCCAGCCCAGAAAGAGTAGATAGACCCTTCCTGGACCCTCTTGTTCTTTCCAGGTCTTTGGTGTTGCCCAGTGCACTGAGTGAAAAAGTCTTTTCAAATCCTCACTGCTTTCCCCATGTCATGCATGTGCTCTGGGAGATGACTTCATGATTTCTTTTGCTTGGTCATACAGGATGTAATTTGACTTGTGTTGAGTAATGATGATGGGTGTGCAGGACATATTCCTATGTCTAGGATATAGCAGATAGGGGAAGCAATTTAAATGGGTTTCTACAATGACCGTGATTGGTTCTTAGGCAGGAATAAGGCATTACTTTCCCTCTGAAACCAGAGGAAAACAGGGTTGGGTAGCTCCTGGTCCCTTTGTCTAGATGATAGGCACTGGGCCTGTACACCCAATTCCTGCCTTTGGTTTGGAGTCAGCCAGCATTGTGCTTTTACCACCTGATACTGGAAGTTATTTTTGCCTTGTCAGCCTTATGCCAGTAGGTGGCGCTGTCCTAGTTTTGGAGACTGTGTCTCTGGTGTTCCAGGGTATCTACCAGCACCCACAGGGGAGAGGTAGCCTATCAATTAATTAGGCCCAGCCCATCCATATGGATCTGAAAACAGGAGGATGAGCATGAAGCATCCCTAGAGAGTCTGATCAAGCAAGACTGCTCCTGTACCTACAAAGTTCCTGTAGTGCTGGTCTGTTGCTTTCTGAGGGAAACAAACTGCAGCAGTATTTGCTCAGGGTGGCCAAATCCAGTCTTGGTATTTGTGGCAAATAACCCTTAACCTCTTGTTGGAGGCCTCTTGAATCTCCCAATGTCCCGCGGTCATTGTAACAGGTAAAAGGCTGGGTCTTCACTTGGGGGATCTGTGACACTTGGAATTTGGCCCATTGCATGGAAAGAGTAGTCCCTTAGTACTCAAACATGAGAGGAGATGCAGGTTGTGCCCCTTGGAGGCCCCATCCCCAGTTCAGCAGTACTGGGAATTCAGTACCTGAGTCATGTGGCTCAGGAATGTCTGTCAAGGCCTGCATGGTGGGACAGAAGTATCCAGAGTGGGGCCAGGTGAAGTTTAACAAGCTGAGAAATGGTTCAGGAAGCTCTGGAAAAGCTTGTTTATCTTGATGGGGTCCCCGGGAGCAGGGTCAGTTGTCAGCCACTTGGATGACCACTGCAGTCTGGTCCAAGAATGTGTGAGCTATGGTCTTTTCCAGTTAGCCATGGCCTGGGAGCTTTAAGCTTACCTGGACTCTAAAGCCTCACATTTTTTTATACCTGGCATGAACTATTAGAATACACTGAATTTTAGTGTGTACTTTGTCAGTGTCTTATGCCTACTGAGTTCTTAACACACTTCCCTGGGTCTAAATTTAAATTTACTGCTAAAATGAAAGTAATTCTCAAGATACTGTTGTTAGGTCTGTGACTCCTAGCACATGTTCCTTTTAGAACAGTGATATTTATAGAATGCTGTGATGTATTCCAGTGATAGCAAAATGCAACAAAGCTCCTCATAACAAACTACCATTATAGCCACTTCTGAAGTGTATAAGTCCAGTGTTGTGCAGTCATCACTAATACCAGGTGGTAGAGTGTTTCATCCAGACAGAAACTTCAGCCCACTAGTTAGAACTGTTCAGCTTCTTCCTGAAGTCCTTGGCAACCAGGAACCTGTTTTCTGTCTGTAGTTTGCTCATTTGGATATTTCACAAATGTGGACTCATGCACTGAATGGCCTTTGGTGTGTTGGCTTCTTCCACTCAAGGTTTCTGCAAAACTAAGCTGCGTGATGTAATCCTATTACTTTTATGGGTTAAAAAATGCTCCATTCTGAGTGTAAACTACATGTTACTCACTCACTGTAATGGTTAACCTGATAAACTCGATGGGCTTAGAACCACCATGAAAACACACCCCTGCGTGTGTCAATGCAGGTGTTTCCAGGTGTTTTGGTGAGAGACCCACCCAGAATGTGAGCTGCACTATCCTATATGCTGGGAGTCCTAGACTGAATAAAAAGGAGGGCAAGAGCTGGGCACTCGCCATCGTCTCTGCTTCCTGACTGCAGATGCAATGTGACCAGCTGCCTTAAGTTCCTGCAATCATGACTTCCCACCACAAGGACTGTACCCTTATACTGTGACCCAAATAAACCTTCCCTCAGTTGTTCTTGTGGGGTATTTTGTCACTCTTGGACCCAGGGAAAAAGATGCTGCTGTTACTGCCCAGAATTACTAAGAAATCTGATTTTGTAGTTCTTGCCTGGGGTCATTCCCACCAATGTTTATTTTTGTCTCTGTCTTTTGAGACACAGTCTCACTGAATAGCCCTTGAAATAACAGATCTGCTTCTAAAACACAAAGATTTATGAGGGCTGTGGATGTATTGGTACTGAGCCTTATAAACCATGCCCAGGGCCTGCTTTGCAGGGTGGATTTACGTCTAAGGAAGCATCGTTATCCTTACCCTCTGACCTGTCTAAAATGAAAGGTAGCACTTGAGGGAGGAGATTATATTCCATTAACGTCATGTTGAAGCAGATGTGATGCCAAGGGTAGAAGTGAGCCAAAATAGGCACTGTAGGGCCAGTGGTTGTCCAGAAACCCCCGCGTAAAGGACCAGTTGGCCTTTCTTTCCTTTTACCTTACTGCATGGCCTTCCTCAGCATAGGAACCCAGGCTAGGAATGTGTCCACTAGACCCCAGAGCCTAGAGAAGTGGTTCCCAGCCTGCAGGTTGTGACTCATTTGGAGTCCTATATAAAGTACCCTGTATATCAAGTATTTACAATTCCTAATAGAATAATAGTTATGAAGTAGCAACAAATATGGTTGGGTGTCACTACAACCATATGAAAGGTTTGCAGCATTATAAAGATTGAGAGTTAACTGCTTAGGGCCTAGAGGTTTCCCCACACCATACATATCTTTGCAGATACAGAGAACTAGGCACACAGGCTTCTTCCTACTCAGGCTTTATTGAAAGACCAAGAGGTACAGGTGCAAGGGAGGGAAGAAGGGCGTGGCCAGAGGGCAAGCCCCAGGAGGCCTCTTAACGGTACTTGGAGGTCAGCACGGTGCTCACAGTGGCAAAGAATTTGTCCAGAGAGGCGTGCATCCCGGGGGTGAAATCGGCAGGGTGGTGGTTAGCCAGGGTCACCAGCAGGCAGTGACTCAGGAGCTGCGGGGACAGGACCAGTCAGTCCATAATAGTAGACACTCTGCTCCCCTTCCTGGAACCACTGTGTTCCCTGCCCTGGGTACGAGGACCCCAAGCCCTCCCTACAGGTCCCAGATACTTCCTGCCGGGTCCTAGAACACACCTTGAAGTTAACGGGATCCACACGCAGCTTGTGGGCATGCAGGTCGCTCAGATCAGACAGGGCACCGGGCAGGTCATCCAGGTGGCCTACGGCCTTGGTCAGCGCATCAGCGACCTTCTTGCCATGAGCCTGGACCTGGGATGAGCCGTGGCTCACATCAAAGTGAGGGAAGTAGGTCTTGGTGGTGGGGAAGCCAGCGAACATCCTGTGAGAAAGTGACAGGAGAAGGTGAGGTCACAGAAAAACATAATTAGGAGCTGAGCGCCAAGTCTGTTTTGGATCCTGTGATCCTTACAGAACAAGGTCCTGGTCTCACCTTTCTAGGGCCTCCGCGCCATATTCAGCACCATGGCCACCAATCTTCCCCCAGGCATTCTTGATGTTGGTTTTGTCTTGCTCAGAAAGCACCATGATTTCTTCCCGAGTCTTTCAGAATCAGAAGTGTGTTGGACCTACAGCAAGTTGGATTTATTGCCTGCAACGTCTAGGACACGCCCTTGATGTAGCCCTCATTGGCTGGCTTGTGCTAGCTCTGCCCAGTAACACTTGCAAGGCTCCTCCGCCCACCGCGGAGAGTCTGGGGTTGGATCTGCCTCCCCTGGGTGCAGGGAATTCTTATCACTTACCCACATGCTTCTTACTCCTTCCTGTGTCTCCAGTGATGAGTGTTTGGGAAGAAGTTAGGATCCCCCTGTTTTTTTTGGGCAGAGAAGCAAGTCGCTCAAACCAAATTCAACAGTACCCACCCCTACCCCATTCCCCTCCTCCCGCTGGGTCCCAGTTTCATTCTCCCCTTCCTAGCCCACCCCCTGTTTCTGGCCCCAGCCCCATGATCTGAGAACCCTGGTTCTGAGAAAAAGAATGATAAGGTGCTAGTGACCCACAGAGGAGCTCTCTCCCTGTCCTGTCTCCCCCCTTCCCTCTCTCCTCCTCTCTGTCCACTCTTCCTCCCCTGCTCCTCCTTTCTTTTCTTTTCCCTCTTTCTCCTTTCCTCCTTTTGTGTGACCAGGCCTTGTTCTAGTTTTCAGGCTGGCCTGGAATCCTTTAGCTCAAGTGACTCCTTGCTCAGCCTTCTGGGGACAGGGAGCTGCAGGAGCAGGCCACCAGACTCTTCCTAAAGACTTGCATCTTATCTGCCCAGTGCTGCTATGGCTGAATAAGGAGAGGCTGAGGGCTGGGTTTGGTGTCACACATGGGCAGTCTCAGGTTCTGGCAGGCTGAGGCAGGAGCATCGCTTGAGCCTAGGAGTTTAAGGTCAGCCTCTGCAAAGAGAGACCCCCCGTCTTTAGGACAGAAGCAAACAATAACACAGCCGCTGGGTTGTAAGTGAGTAGCAGAATGTTCATTTTGCGTAAGGAAGGCTCTGGCTTCAGTCCCCAGCACTGTAAAAATACATGAGCAGTAAGCACAAGAGGCAGCTGTCATTGCAAAGTCCTGGGCTCAGTTCTAACTTCCTCGACTTGGGGGGAGGGAGACATCAGAGGGACCAACCTCTTAACTGAGATAAAATAAAAAAATGTGTCTGGGGAATCTAAATGGCTATCCATTTCTTCTCTTTTTCTTTTTTCTCTCATTTTTTTTATTCTCTCCCCACCTTCCCATGTCTTTTCTTCTTCTTATGTGTGTGTACAGTTGTTTGCTGTGATCTATAGCATATGCTCTCCTCCCCTGCTCCAGCTTCAGAAAGGTCCCTGGGACAGCACTATACTCTGTTGGCATGTCAGGGAGATGGACAACTCAGGTATACATATGTTTTATTCATACTAAGAGGTGCAGGTGTGGAACCAGAAGTAGGGCTTGGTCATGAGCCAAAAGAATGAGGGCCTTGCTACAGGTCTGAGGTTTAGGGGACCTGGAGGTTAGCACTATATCCACAGCAGCAAACAGCTGAGGTGTGAGCCTCAGGGGTGAAGAAATCAGGGTTGTTACTTGATCATCCTTACCCACATGCTTGCCTCAGAAACTATGGGGAAAGAAACATAGGTCGCTGGCTGTAGATACCACAGGAGGTTCTTTAGTATTAGGTGAAGGACCAACAATATCTCAGAACCCAGATTACTCCCCTGTCCAGCCTACAGTCACCTCAGTGTTGATGGAGTCCACACGCAGCTCATGGACAAGGAGTAAACGCTCGGCTGACATGACAGTTGAAATGTTATCTAGGTGGCCTGCTGTGTTGATGACTGTATCTGCCACCTCTTGCCTTGGGCTGCTACCTAGGCAAAGAGGGACTCATGTCCTAGTTAAGGAAGTAGGTCTTGTAGGTGGCAAAACTGTGGCATTTCCTTCTGGAAGACTGAAGTTCAGAGGCAGAGACTGGATGAGGGAAGGGCACCTTTGTCCTCTGGAGACCTGGCCGGGCAGAAAGGTTCCCTCGTCTCTCTGGGGCTTTTGTGCTAACATAGGTACCATTCACCCTGATCAGGACTTATCTTCATTTGTAAGTGTCCTAGTGGGCTCTTTATTAGAATGTATTTCAGAAGCCGGGCGGTGGTGGCGCACGCCTTTAATCCCAGCACTTGGGAGGCAGAGGCAGGCGGATTTCTGAGTTCGAGAGTTCGAGGCTAGCCTGGTCTACAGCGTGAGTTCCAGGACAGCCAGGGCTACACAGAGAAACCCTGTCTCGAAAAACCAAAAAAAAAAAAAAAGAATGTATTTCAGAACCAGAATGCTGGATGCAAACAGCACTGGGCATTTTCTCTCTAGCTAGGGTGAGCATGTGTGAAGGGATCAACTCCCAGTTTGGCCACCATCCTCGGCTACTTCCAGCTTACACTGCAGGGTAGGGTCCACGGTGAGCTGACCTCATCTCAATCACTGACCCCAGCCTTAGGTTCAGAGGTTCTTTCTCTTTCCCTCCACCTCCCCGAGAGAAACAGGTTTCTGGGAAGAAAGGAGGTGTCATTGGGGCACAGAAGCTTAGCCTTTGCCAGAACTATTCCACATCACGCCTCCTATTCTCTGTCTCTACTTCTTTCTTGCTTCTGTCTCAACTCCCAACTGCAGGCTTTATTCTGGCTCTGAGTACAAGAAAGATTAGATGCTGGGGATTTAGAGGCATAAAGAATGACTGCCCCGGTCAGGGTGGTGGTAGTGATGGGCTGCTACTGGGGGACGGGGGGCTCCCCTCTCTGTGCATGCTGTTTCAGTCTCTCTCCTCTCTGAGATTCTTAAAGGGTATCTTAGTCTTAAGGATCTTAAGTCATGGGCCGGGGGGTGGTGGCTCATGCCTTTAATCCCAGCACTTGGGAGGCAGAGGCAGGCGGATTTCTGAATTCAAGAGTTTGAGGCTAGCCTGGTCTACAGGGTGAGTTCCAGGACAGCCAGGGCTACACAGAGAAACCCTGTCTCGAAAAAACCAAAAAAAAAAATTCCTCTCTTCCCTCCCTTTTCCCTTTTCTTCCTCCTCCACTCCTCATCGTCCTCTCCTGTCCTCTACCCTCCATCCTCCCTTTCTGTCTTCCTCCCTTCCTTCAACTCTCCTTCCCTTCAGGCTCATTTTTGTTTAGACTTAGTGAAGACACTGGGCTCAGTCCCAACTTTTACTTGGGCCTTTTCTGGGTAGAAAGATAAGACTGAGAGACTCTCCATGTTGATAACACAGAAGGATGTGAAAGCTTGGATGGACTTCAGTTTATTTCTTAGGTGTTTCCCTATACACAACTAAAAAGGAGGTGGCTGCAGAGATGGCTCAGCTCTGAGAGAATGATTGCTGCCCTTCCTGACGGCCTGAGTTTGGTTCCCCGCACCCATGTGAGGTGGATCACAACTTCCCTTAACACTACCTCCAGCTTCTGGGGATTTGACACCCACTTGTGATCTTTGTAGGCACACACACACACACACACACACACACACACACACGGCATACATAGAAACAGGCATACACATAATTAAAAAGTAATGAAGATGAGTGGGCTGTAAAGAAAGAAGTCCACAGGGGAGAGGAAGAAACTGCCTAGGTATTCAGAGCAGTCCTTGACCAGAAACTAGTGAATGTGTTACTTGCCACCCTCCGGGAAGCTGTATCTGGTGCAACTTACACTAGCTCCTTTTGAGAAAAGCCTGGAAAGCTAGATCATGTTCCAGAACACCATAGCCAGGCAGACTGAGACGTCAGCCTGGAGCCAGTGGTCTTAAAGCCAGGACAAGAGTATTTCTGGATGCTGCTAACAGCCAAGGGAGCAGAAGGAAATCTCAGAAGGGAAGCTTCTGTACTGAGACCAGAGCTCAGACTCCCTTCCAACCAACTGCATCTTCCAGCAGTATGGCCTGTTGCCTAGCTGTCTTTGCACTTAGACTGCAGCTCTACAAGCCATCTTTCCGCAGTCCGTGTTTGCACAGGCAGTAAGCATTGCTGGGCTGGTCAAGGGTGGAGTACACAAACATATTCTCAGTGTTTATGGGTTTTTCTTTGTTTTTTTGTTTTTTGTTTTTTTTTAAGACAGGGTCTCACTGGCCTGGAACTTGCTCTGTAGACCTGGCAGGCTTTGAACTGACAGAGACCTTTATCTACTTCTGCCTCTGGAGTACTCTGATTAAAAACAGACACTACACCCATCCCTTTGCATTTAATTTGATAAGATTTTTTTCTTAGAGTATTTGTTCCTGAAGTTTACCTTACTATTTTTGAGAGATTCATTTAATTAAAGAATATATATGGCTAGTTGTGGGAGCCTAAGGTTTTAATCCCAACACTTGGGATGCACAGGTAGTAGGTGGATCTTGGTGAGTTTAAGGCTAGGCTGGTGTACAAATTGAGTTCCAGGACAGCCAGGTGATCACACAGAGAAATTTGTCCCCCCACCCCCTCATGTGTATGTGTGTACATTCATATATGGCTAGAGAGATGGCTCTACTGTTTAGAGCACATATATTTTCATCAGCCTCTGTCTCCAGCATGCTGAGATTAAACATGTATTCTACCACACATTAATCTGATGTTCAGTTCACATCTCTATGACCTCTGTATCAGTTTCTGCCTCCAGGCTCCTGCCTTGTGTTTCTGCCATGACTTTTCTGGATCTTCTCTGACTTACAGCTGTAAGATGAGATAAATGCTTCCCCCACCCCAAGTCACTTCCAGTCATGATGTTTTATCACAGCAATGGAAGCCCTAACCAGAACAACTGTCTAACAAATACCCAGTAGCAGGAAAGAGAAGCCCAGCCTTGTGAGCTGTTAGACATGGGATTCAGAGAATTTATGCAGGATCTGACCTGAAGGCTTCCTCACTGAGAACTGGCCTTCAGAGTACTGAAAGGTGCTGTGCAAACTGCCAAGGGAGGCCTGAAACCTATAGTTCTACATAGTTCTCACAACTATGAACCACAGCAATGCCCGACATGGCAAGATTTCCCCAGCGTGCTGTAGGGGTACTCATTCTTGGCAGTAACCAATAGCTGTCTAATTGGATGTAAGCCTGCTCAATAGTGGGAAATCATGCCTTGTA